GGGGGGGGAGAGATTTTTACTTTTTAACACTTTTATTCATAATTCATAAGTACAGCGTTTTTAGCACAAAGTCACACTTTTATTTAAACATACCTCCGACTTTCAGATATATAAAAAAAGTAAGCATTCACATACATTTGTTTTTATTCTGGTCAGATATCTCGTCGGTGTACCAAAAAACATAGTTATTACGTATGAATAAAAGGGCTAAAAAGGATGACGAAAATACGTTTTGTAAAATAGCGTCCATTTGTGATTTTGGTCCCCCACTTTTCCCCCTCGTATCTCGGAATGGTCTCCAAGCTAACCTTAATTTCATGTCATATCAGGATGACATTACCCTAATGTATGTTTATACAAACAAATACAAATTTGAATTTTTCAAATAGTTCTCTCTTATATTTTGTATACTACAATGTATTCAAGCTCTTTATGTTTTTGTTCATAATAGAAGTATTCAGTCTTTGTTTCGCAGTATACCATACATACACATTTTAACTGACCTCAATATCCAGAGCAATGATGCCCTTGCTGTTTCACATGGTAATAATACAATAAAAAGAATCATTTTAAAATAGCTGTACAAACAGATGTGCTATGAAAGTATACTGGTAATTCCTGCTCTTACTTAAATACATAATTTGTCACAAGTTACACATATTCAGGATACTTTCCTCCACCCACATAGTCAGGATACTATCCTTCACCCACATAGTCAGGATACTATCCTTCACCCACACAGTCAGGATACTATCCTTCACCCACATAGTCAGGATACTATCCTTCACCCACATAATCAGGATACTATCCTTCACCCACATAGTCAGGATACAATCCTCCACCCACATAGTCAGGATATTATCCTTCACCCACATAGTCAGGATACTATCCTTCACCCACACAGTCAGGATACTATCCTTCACCCACATAATCAGGATACTATCCTTCACCCACATAATCAGGATACTATCCTTCACCCACATAGTCAGGATACAATCCTCCACCCACATAGTCAGGATATTATCCTTCACCCACATAGTCAGGATACAATCCTCCACCCACATAGTCAGGATATTATCCTTCACCCACATAGTCAGGATAATATCCTCCACCCACATAGTCAGGATGCTATCTTCCACCCACATAGTCAGGATACTATCCTCCTCCCACATAGTCAGGATACTATCCTCCCCCCACATAGTCAGGATACTATCCTCCTCCCACATAGTCAGGATACTATCCTCCCCCCACATAGTCAGGATACTATCCTTCACCCACATAGTCAGGATACAATCCTCCACCCACATAGTCAGGATATTATCCTTCACCCACATAGTCAGGATTCTATCCTCCACCCACATAGTCAGGATATTATCCTTCACCCACATAGTCAGGATACAATCCTCCACCCACATAGTCAGGATATTATCCTTCACCCACATAGTCAGGATACTATCCTTCCCCCACATAGTCAGGATACTATCCTCCTCCCACATAGTCAGGATACTATCCTCCTCCCACATAGTCAGGATACTATCCTCCTCCCACATAGTCAGGATACTATCCTCCCCCCACATAGTCAGGATACTATCCTTCACCCAAATAGTCAGGATACTATACTCCACCCACATAGTCAGGATACTATCCTGCACCCACATAGTCAGGATACTATCCTGCACCCACATAGTCAGGATACTATCCTTCACCCACATAGTCAGGTTACTATCCTCCACCCACATAGTCAGGATACTATCCTCCACCACCCAACTAAGCTCAACAGGCTATTCGGATTGATCTTGATTTCCATAATTTGAATTAAAAACACTAAGCGATTACAGATCAGAACTCTAGTCCAGCAGAAATAGCAATTTTCTGGCAAACATGTGTGTGTCGCAAGTTTGAAGCAATTTAGAACTGATTGCCAGAAGGTTGCCACTAGCAACAAAAAGCTGGCATTCTGATTTAATTGTGGCAAGTCTGTCGCAAACATTACTTTTCTGCAAAAGTAGTCATGATTTGCTATTACACCATGAATCTGAAACAGACATATATATAAGCTTATGACTCAACTTTATTGAACTCTGGGTCAACCATATCTGATATTCCATGTAAACTACATTGTACTTTATGATGTTGACACGTGGTTTAATGAAAACAAGACGTCAATAAATGTAAATAAAACTTTATTTTAAAAATGTATGTTAGTTACTACTACTAAGTAGAAACCTGGCAGACTAAATGAAAGCTTCAATCTTGAACTAAGGGGCAAAACTGTGTCCCAGGTAAGAAGGCTTGTATTTTCCCCAATTTCCTGTACCTAGGGTATTCTAACACAGTCTGGTCTGGTGCTTCTCCAGACAGATTATCAAAAGCTCAAAAGCGAGCAGCGAGATTGATTTTAGATGTATCATAATTATGATGCTCCTTCATTAGAAATGTTCAGAATTTTGAAATGGTTGCTAATTCAAAAATATTTTAAATTTCGAAAAGTCAATTATGACTGATAAATGCATCAATGTAATGGTACCACATTTTCTTTCCAAATATTTTATTTTGGCTGGAAATGTTCTTCAACGTTCTACTAGGCATGATCCAGTTAAATGAATGAGTTCCAAAACACACAAAAAAACGTATTATTCAAAAGAGTTGTTTTTATCTTACAGTCGAGAATGGAACAAACTTCCAAATGAAATGTCTTTTTCGATGTTCAAAAAGAGGCACTTACGCAATTATTTGAACTATGAACACACCATTATTTTTATTTTTTTCCAATGCCATAATGCTTTAATAGCGTATAACTGTCAATCTTTACACTTCACTATATTAGTATTAATGTTGCTCCTATTTGCATGAACTTTTGTGCATTCTGTGATTATTTTAAATATGTATCTATGATAAATGTATCATAAATCTTATGCATTATTTTGTTACCAATCTTGTATCTTAACACTTACCATTTTTCACTTACAAGAGGACCCTGTGAAGGAAAAGCATGAGCTAAACAGGTTTTCAATCCTCATGAAATAAAGTTTATTATTACTATTCTGCCACAACTATTTGGTTTAAATATGTCCATTAATTTCTGCAAGTAGATGTCAATTAAAGCAAACTAGCCAATTTGACTCTTTTTAACCGACCACTCGGATCCTTTATTCCTTTTAACTTTTGATTGCTATGGGCCAAGCATACTGCCATTACAATTTGGTTGAAAATTATTCAGTATTATGGGGGCTGTCATTTAATGCAAATTAGCTTATGAGCCCAACTGGTTGAATTCTACACATTAGTTTTGGAGATGCCCCACCACACAAGTTCACTCCGGTACTTGTTACAATATGAGCTTATGAGCCCAACTCATCCCTCAGCACACAGTAGTGTCTGCCCTATATCTGTACGACTTTTGATCACAATGGTCCATTTGATAGTAGCTCCAAAATTTGGTTGAATTCTACACATCAGTTTTGGGGATACCCCACCACACAAGTTCACTGGGGTACTTGTTACAAGATGAGCAAGGATGCTATGATGGACACAAACTTCATGTTTATAATGTATTGTATGGATCGAGGATGGACCAAATTTGTCGCTATTACTCAGCAGTTTCAATGTACACTTGACATTAACATTTTTAAAAACATAAAATCTTCATTAAAGTTGTTTTTTTACTCATTCACCCCCGAAATTTCATAATGAACTATTCCAACCTATGAATAGGAAGAGTTCAAATGTGTCTTCAGGGGTGAATGAGTTAAGGATTAGATAAACTTTCACTTGAAGTGGGGTTTTTTCAAGTACAAAATATCTGTGCCAAAACAAGTCTGAAATATGGTAATAATATTTTAATATTGCACAAATCATATCAGCATTACAATACAATCATAATACATTCAACACAGAAAGGCAATCAAACATCTTCATCTTATAAACACTTACAGGTAGCGTTTTATTGTTTGAGTGTCAGATTTACTATATACTAGTGTATTTTTTCTTTCTTACTGGTTGACTAAATGTTGATTTTGGTCAAATCTGTTAAATAAAGTTAGCTGTGAAGTCTCGAATATCTACGAACAGACTGAAATCAGCTCACCAGGTACATTGTATATTGCAATGATGGCTTTAGTTCAAAATGATAAGCTTTTCTAAACATCAGAAGAGGTAAAAATCTTCAACCAAATTGACTGTTCCTGAATAATTAACTTCATTAGATAAAAACTGTACATAGTCAAGCCGTTAAGTGTCCTAACTTCTGACCTGATATTACAGAGAACATAGCATGACATTTCAACTGAACAAATAATTCAACTCTCCTTGATGGAATGGAAATGGTACTATCAACATATAATCACTCTTCTTTCTTACAGGTTCACTTGCCTATCTCCATTGTTCTAAATTCATTTTTCCACCTCTAACTTATTTTCTCTCTGTCATAATCACTTATTCGTCACTATTTTTACTTTCTTCCTCTCATTCTCATACTTTTGTTCATTCTAGTCTCATCTACTCCTTTTCTATCTCTGTCTGTTTCTCTCACTGTCTCTCTCTCTCACTGTCTCTCTCTCAAATGTCTCTAATGCTCTTGTTCACTTTCAGTCTCTTCTTCTTTCCTCCGCATTCAGTATCATTCCTCTCCTTCCCTCTTCCTCACGATGTGTAGATAAATATCACCCAAAAGTTCACCTCAGTCCTGTTGCATCATGGATAGCACTGTATTGTCAAACAACCTGCAAAACAAGAAATACTATTCATGGTAACAGACTGTGCAGATTGTTACAAAAATGTGATTACTGTACCAGGTATTTATAAATCAGGCGTTGTCAATACAATATAAATGTGGTTACCAGGTAGTTCATGGGTATCATAAATGTACATGTGGCTAATTTGTTTCGGTAATTTCTCCACAACAAAGACACCATTACAACCTATTCTAAAGAAAGGAGTGGGTAACGGGAGAACAGAGTGGGGAATGTGGATATGTTTTGCTTTCACTGATCCACAACAATGGGGGAATGGGGAATGAGATATGCATTACCTTAGAGAGGAAAGAGAATACCAGATGTCTGACCTTGACAAATTCAGAAGAGAGGGGAGGTGAACAGAGCATGATTAACCTTGAATATTCATTTTGATCCACCTTCCCTTGCACATTAACTACAGCTAATACAGGAACACTTACCTGGAGGTTATGTTCTCCCCTGGAGTGTAGAAAGGATTACAAAGCATGTCAACATAGCCATTGTGCAGTTTGCGGAACATCTGAAAAAAATTCAAAATATTTCTTGGGTTCAAATATTCCTCTAAGAAATTCCTGGCATAGAATTGTATCAGTCAGACTCAACAATCAAAAAAAAACTAGAAACCTGTTTTTGTGAACAAAAACATGTCTCCCCTTAAAAGCCAATAGACAAACTTCGATATAAAAAATTAACAAAGGGCCATATCTCTTTAAATATTGGGGCACGAGACCTGAATTTAGAATGCGACACTCCTACTTCCCAAGATACATTAAAACTATAGCATGTTTGGTCAACGTAGGTGAAATAACATGGAAGTTATGCTGTGGACAAACTTCGGTATTAAAAATAAACAAAGGGCTATAACTCTGTATACAGTGGGGCATAAAACCTGATTTAGTGCGAAAGATTACACCTTCCCAAGATATATAAATATATGGTAAGTTTGGTCAACGTAGGTGAAATAACATGGAACTTATGCTCTGGACAAACTCGGTATCAAAAATAAACAAAGGGCCACAACTCTGTATAAAGTGGGGCACGAGACTAAGTTCCAGTGCACTGCACACCTTTTGTGAGTGATGCAGGTATATTTCAAGTTTGATTAAGATATCTTTAATGGTTTAGAAGTTATGCCGTGGACAAACTTTGGTATTACAAATAAACAAAAGGCCATAACTCTGTATATAGTGGGGCATAAAACCTAATTATAGTGCACTGCACACCTTCTCTGGGTGATACAGGTATCCTTCAAGTTTGATCAAGATATCTTTAAACGGTTTAAAATGTATTGGCCAGACAAGAATTTACTGAAAATGTTGCACTATTTTAACCTTTGACCTTGAGGTGAAGGTCACAGTAATCTACATTTGTAATTCCAGTGCACCGCACACCTTCTGTGGGTGATGCATGCATACCTCAGGTTTCATCAAGATATCTTTAACGGTTTAAAAGTTATAGCCCGGACAAATTGGGATTAGAAGAACCAGTACTAATACAATATGTCTCCCTTTATTTGAATGGGAGACATAATAATGTCATGAAGGATTGATTGGTAGAAAATGAAAAAAACATGGTTGTAACAACAGGCACAGAAGGAACTTTATAAAAAAAAAGAGTAGAAATGCAAAAGATAAATATTCTGACTGTTGCAATATTAGTGTAATTCATCTACCAGGTACCAGGTAGTTTGGTGTCCTAGGTAGTACAGAAAGCGGGAATGATTGGTAGAAAATGGGAAAAACATGGTGCAAGAAGAGATGCAGAAGGTAAAATATGAAGGTAGAAATTCAAAAGATAAAAACCCTGACTGTTGCAATATTAGTGCAACTCTTATTTTGCTGTCTTAGGTAGTATAGAACACAGAAAAAAAATCCACATCTGCAGGGAGTCCCATATCAGTAGCCTTGTACAGTCATCCACTGGGACACAGCAGGCCTACTCTTTCTGGGAACCTGCACATCTAAGGCAGTAAGTTTAGACAGTTCACCTGATGACTTACCCCTCTGATCTCGTTGTCTCTCAGACTGGTATTAGACGACTCCACCACAATGACAAACTTCACCTTAGTATTGGTAACATACCCATATCTGTTTGGAAGTTAAGGCAGTGTACCATTCATATCTATTTGTCTGGATTTATATTTTAAATTTTGAACATGAATATTGTTGATTAAATTCTGGTTTCTCTGATTTTTTTTCAAAGATGTGTTAGTGCTATTCTGGAAGCTTTCATAAAGCTTTCCACTGTAAAACAGGAAATTTCATAGCAATTTTATCTTTGCAATCGAAAATAATAAGATAATAACTCATGAGACAAAACTTGTTTACATGTATCATTTTTAAAAACAAGATGAAAAATCAACCCTAGATGAATTTGTTTTAAAAGGCAAAGGAGCAAATCTGGCAAGGCCTGGAACCATGTGTACTACGGACCACAGTAAAAAAAAAATAATGAATGATTTCTAACTTTAGTTAAATAATCCATTTCACATCTTAACACATATATGCATTTATATCTTTATGATACATAACTTAAAACCCTTCAGATCCTCATTCCTTAAACAGAAATGAATGTGTGAGCCACGTCACTAACTCATAAAAGGATACACTTTGTAGTCTTCAGTTGGGTAGAGAAGTCCCAGGTACAGCTCCCTCAAGTCATTGGTGTTCTTTCCGACAGAAGAAATCTTCTCCTCCACAACATCTAAGGAAGTGTGGACTGTGTATTGAAACTTCAACTCATTATCTGTGGGTATTGTCTTAATATACAGCGGGTAGTTCTGAAATATAAGATAATTAATAAGTTTACATATTCTACATTCCTGTACATGTACAAGAAAAAGAAGACACCTGAGTAAAAGTTGCCCCCACATTCATCTGACAAAGACATATTTCAGTAAACATCAAAACAATTAGTTCTCTTTTTTCTCAAACAATCATCGAAAATTATTCATAGCAATCCCTACTGTAGACCATAGATTCTCACCTGTACAGATTTTAAATTGTTGGAAAATTTGGATTTTAACACTGGGCACACTAATATGATTTGTAGGCTATAAACTATATAATTCTACCCATCATAGTAATGTGTTCACAGGTGCTAGACACACTAATAGTAATATAATATCTGTCATATTACAGTAGGCCTAGTGTCAGTGTGTCCAGCACCTCAGCCTGCACTGGAGGTGTGGACAGTTATTTACTACTTGAAATTTCAAAGCATTGTGAATATAATGTATTGTGAAACATCAGCATACGGTCCTGACACGTGTGTCTCACAAACGATAACTATTTAATCTCAATATGATCTATACAGCACAATAAACATATACCTCCTTGGCAATGACAGCAACACACACCGCCATCTTCTGCTGAGCAATACGGAACTCTTCGGACACGATTAATAAATACACGGATAAACGATTCCGAACAGGTCAGACTAATATATAAAACGATATTTTTTCCGGAAATATGATTAAAGAGGCGTGTTCGAAGAAGTTTATTCTGAAATCGCCCTGATAGTTCGACAACTATTTCTTCACATCAACATGTAATCACTGAAATCTTACTTACATATATGTAATCCTGCAAGTCAAGTAAATAAAGTGAGGCTCATTAGATTACATGCAGCATGTCTCAAAAATCCGTTCTTTGAAAAGGGCATTTCATCCTTCGGTAGAAGCAATTCAAAAGATGATGTCTGCAATATCAAAAATGACTAAAAAAGACTATCATAAAGGCAAAAGATTCCACAGTAACAGAATTTTAGCTTATACAAATTAATAAGAATCATTTAAAACAAAAACAAAACAAAAACAAAAAACTAAAACGAAATTCTGTGTTTACATCATACTGATCAAAACAAGAGTTGAAATATACCATTTGTATAATTAGTTTACCATCCTTAAGTTTTACCTCGCTATTAAAGGATCGTGGCCTCTATGTCAAAAACCTTCCATAAATTATTCCACGGAATTAGATTAGTCCGTGATTATTCCAAGGGTGCACCATGGTCATCACAGAGCAACATATATATGATTCAGTATTTTTATGGATTTGGGTGTACCGACATCACCCCAGACTGGCCGATCTCCAACATTATCGACAGCCAGGTCAAGTAAAAACGTCCAAATCACTTGCATTTGATGTCCGATCAACCAGCTCAACGGTGAACCGCTCTGTATTATGCTGTGTTATAATTACACTGCTATGTATATATATTGGTGTGCATTCCCAAAGGTGAGATTTTCTACCGTCCAGATGCACTTTCCATCCTCCATTCATGACATCCAAGTTGTTAGTTCTACATAGTGTGCAATAGCTGTCCTATCTTGACCTGTCGTTGCATTGTGCAAAGCGAATGAAAGTAAGACCTGTATGTGTTCACTACCTCTTTAACGTTCTCCAGAGATACCTGCTATTCTGTTCAGGTTGCAATATGTATCAGTCCTCCCTCTTGGTTTTTACCGCGTAAAGTCGCAGCACTTCTTGTTCCATGATGCCTCGTTTCCCATGACCACAATCAACTGGGCAATATTTAAAGCAGATATCACTTACGATGATATAAATGGCATTCAGCGGCTATGCACATGTCCTGGTAAAACCCCGGATAAACCATACGAATCCGTCTACTGGAAGATGACAGCAGACAACCCTTGGAAATGTCCACAGATGATTCAATGACCCTACTAAGCTATTCATCCTAGTAAGTTGTTCCCTGTGCTACACATGAGTACTAGGATGCGTCGGTCGTGGGATAAAGTTAGATGGGATGAGTTTTTGTCATTCTAGCTTGTGTAGAACATGAAACGGGATGGGTTGTAGGGATACTGATGTCGTTGGCCATCTTGTTGAATGTTGTAACCCATTCCTTCCTTCTCTGCTCCGAATACTCCCAGTCGGTAATAATAATGTTAACTAGACTGGTGGTAGATTGTATGTAAACGTAGCCAAAACAGGTCTGACTAAGGTGTTGTACGTCTCAGATGAAAGCTTCCTCGGTGCATGCCGTGGGTTACGTCCAGTCAAAGTTTTGTTGCAAGGCGACGGACATGGCATTGTCTGTGGATATATCTAGCTAGCTATAGATAGTTAGTTGTCAGCATGAAGACTCATATGACTGTATGTTGTCTACGAAGTCATAGAAGAAGATAAAAATGACAGATGCAAACGAGGATCTTTTTGGAACCCATGAAGTAACATTTCCAAATTTAACTATTGGCGTCTACCATTATCTGCGTTCTCCTATTCAAAACGTCAATTGTCAAGCCATTGACAACGTTCCTAGTGCTGCAAAGTTTTGACGGAAGGCGCTAGTCTTGTTAGATGCCTTAGAAGATTCCAACATAGCAAGACCATTAACTGCCATGAGAAGTTGAGTGATACAAGAGTGTGAATGCCTAAAACCAATTTGTACTTCCGTCAGTATATACTGTGTTGGTCTATGCATGCAACCCAGAATATCGCTTAATACGTCGATGAAACTATATATAAACGATAATTAAATAGGTTAGGAACTAGTGTTTCACAAAAGACCTACCCCCCCCCCCCCCCCCCCCTTAAAATAAATCTAAAAAGGGGGATTGTTAACAAACTCATAATTCGCACATCAAATCAAGAAAGCTAAGACAAAATGTGAACAGAGGAAATGTATGCAAGAAGACCCTTAATAAATTACAAGGAAAAAGGAAAATAAAGCAAGGTGTTCCAGAACGGTAAGCGTTTTCTGTGTTATCGACGACACCCTGTATGTAATATTAGGTCAGATCCAAGTAATGTCAAGTTCTCTGAGCGAGAACTGAGGTTGTGATAACAAACATATCGCACAATGGAATAATGTCTTAAGTGATGTAGCAACAACGTAAACTTATCCAGGACATGGAATGTCGTCACACAACCTGTCCATGACAAGGGCGGATCTAGGCCCGGCGCGCCGGGCGTGCGCCCCCCCGTTTGGAAAATCGATCTTTATATATTATATATATACATAAATAAATAGCGCTAATAAATGGCAATAATAATTTGTATGAGAAAAATATTGATAATATAATTTGGATTAAAANCCCTAACTCATGGTTCCCGCCCCTAACTCCCGGTTCCCGCCCTAACTCCCGGAAACCTCCTTCCCTAGCCCCCGGTCTCCCGCCCCCTATCCGCCTCCCTCCTTGAACTCGATGGTCAGGTGGTTGCGCCCCTCCCTTTCCGCACCTCACCCACTCCATAATCAGGTGCGCACCCCTTCCCCACCATGATTGAGTGACTCACCCATCCGGTGCCTGTGGGTAACTCAGGATGGGGAAGGAGGGGCGCGTGACCCTTCCCCCGTAGCACCCCACCCCACCCCGTCACCCAACTGGCGCCGTACCTATGCAATATTTGCGCTCATGAGTGGGTTTGGGTGCATATGGACTTTGTATGGTTATATTATTGATTGTATCAAAAGTAGGGTGATCATATTAATAGTATATGCTGTACTCTTGTGTTACTGTATATATGTTATGTTGTATTTTGAACCGATGAACCGTAAGCCTCAAGTTAAGTTTAAAAGTACTTGAACTTGAAGACAACTGCTTTAATTTTGAGACTCTCCTTAATGTTGATTTGCATTTCTCAAACCTCTGTTAAATTTATGATATTATCACACTTATTTTTGTACGAATTTCCACTTCAGTATAATAATGTACCAGTTTCATAAGGATTTAAAAAACAACGAAATCGAGTTTCTTTTGATGTCTCGTTTTTTAACGGCTTCCAAAGTCGTGAAATGCTTTCAAAAACGAAAATTGTTCAACCAATAGTTTTTTGTAATGACCAATAGATATAGCGATTTTCAATAACGAAAATTAATCCATTTTTTTTATAGAGGTAAATTAAAGTAGATTAGAAGTGCATTCAGCAATAACATTCAAAGGAATTACGCAACTGTGTGGTAGTCATGAATATACGGAAGTGTGCCAAGATGCTTAAAAAACATCACATCAAAACTGAAAAAAAAGAGACTTTACAAGGTAATATACACCAATCTGAGGCCAGATAATTTGTTGATTTTATGATGGAAAAGTGCTGAAATGCAACCTCCGGCCATCTACATATTCAAAAAAATCAGGGGGAGACCCCCCCGTACCCCCCTTACGAGAAGGGGGCATCCATGCCCCCCTCACGTGCTCTCCACCCGGCTCCGGCCTATACGGCCCTCGTTAGCCGGCCTGCGGCCGCCCGCAACGCCTGCGGCGGTCAACCTCGCTGCGCTCGGCGAACACTTTTACCGGGAGCGCGCCCCACCCCGTTCAAAAAATCCTGTATCCGCCCCTGCATGATACAGTTATATTTCCTCTGTTCGTGTTATCACATAGTGTCCATTTACGTTTGTATCTACTATTTCCGCCATAAAGAATGATAGTATAACGCTAGCTCTCGTGTCTTTGTAATATTAGAAGGCAATGTCAACATTGATTGACGATCGTATATGTTGGTTACTAATTTCTACGATGCCCCAAGCCTTAATGTCTTCTGCTCTTCATTGATACGTGTAATTTGCTGTTATTCCAAAACCTTTTCAATCGATACCTACAACGATTTCCTCCACATTTGAATCTTTCAATGCCTCTATAGCTGTCCAATTACAATAAAGGAATCCGTGATATAAAAACGTTCTTACAAAAAAATATTTAAAATATTTTACTGTCATGGAAGTATGGTTGCCGAATGGTTCTCTATGTAAATTCAATGTATTTTATTTGATGTTATGCTTTGGATTCCTATGTGTACATATGTAAAAAAAAAAAAAAAAAAAAAAAAAAAAAAAAACAGAGAAAAAAATTAAGCGGTGTCAGACACCTTAATAGTATTTTTCCGGAATTATTTTTCCGAGTTCCGTTTCAGAAAGTAAAAAGAACGTTGCTAATCTCCCGCCATTGCAGTAAAATAAGGGTCCTCAAGTTCGCTGACTGTGCATGAAACACAGTCATGGCGAATCTTCACGCCGATAAAGATGCTTTCTATAGACGAATGGGGAGGTTTTATGCCGCATGGAATGTAAGTAATTGTATGTCAAATGTAATCGTGTGTAAATCTGCCTGAGGGAGAGCCGAAAGGAGATGACATTTTTTATGCAATTTACGCACGTGAGCTCATTGTAAACAATGTCCTATCGTCATTTGTTGATTTTAGCGGAGTGTCAGTTAATTGATTAAATGAAAATACATATACAGCCCATTTGTCACCAATCAAACGTAAAGCGGTCAACTGTTATGTGAAAAAATCCCAGTGTGGCTAATAACGGTAACGGGTTGTTTCGCGCTAAGGGTTGTTTCGGCCTAAATCCCGTTCGCGCTAAAAAAAGAAACATATATACGCTAATATAATAATCAATATTTAAATATATCACCTAAACTTATTGATAACTTTCTATATTGTTGTTAGATATATTTCGTGTAGAAAAATACGCAACTGTGAGTACGGAGTCAGCTTTTCACAGCTGCCGTTTGAAAACAACAACAAACAAATTTCTTTTTATAAAATTTCTTTTAATTAATTGGAAGACTAAGAAAACTTATAACTACTAAAATCGAAAGAAAAATACCAAACTATGTTTCGCCCTAAAAGTTTTGTTTTAGGGCGAAACAACCCTGAACCGCTAATAACGGACTGGTCGTTATACAATTCATCATGGTAACAACGGTCGCTCTATAGCTACTCCATTTACATTTGCTAGCATTTCTCCTACGCTCCGTATCAGAACTTCTGACTAGAAAACTCAGGGTCGCTGGTTCGATACCCAGAGGCAGCACGTATCACTAAACAATGTTGACAGTTCACATTTACTTATCTATTATTCAGTAGTGAGTTTATACGGTAGGTACTTGAGCACTGGCAAATATGGCTAAGGAGGCAGTACCCAAATCGTATTAGTACCCAAAACGGATCACTTTTTTGCAAAAATACTTGTAAATAAATAAATAAATGTGTCAACAAATCAGTTATAACAATGATGTAGTCTTAGAATAGATAGCCATGTACCATTTTTTGGCGCCAAAAACCTGGCACGTCCTTAAATGACCATAGCTGTTAATAGGACGTAAAAAAAAAAATGATAAACGCTTCCCATCCGTGTTTCAAAAGCCATTGCATCACAGATTACGTAAGATTATTCAGGTTATCAAAACAACATGGCCACCATGTGTAGTGAGCTAGGCTGAACTTCTGTGTTTGTCTTATTTTGTTAGTCACCTGATGAAAATCAAAACGCAGATTGAAGCCTTGCTAACTAACAGACATCATTAATTATAATTATACGCATTACACGCTGCTAATTGTGGTCTATTGTTCACGTTTCACACCTATACGTAGTTCACATCCCCACAGGTAAATCTACTCGCAGGGCAGAGTTCGTTGATCAGGGTGTCAACCGTAGAGAACAATAAAAAGCTGGTCTAATGAAATGTAACAAAATTATTGATCTGGGCAAGATGTGGGAACACGCCCTTACATCACATATGAAAAGTAAAAAACATGTGAAAAGGAAAGGAAAGCTTACACTACGTAGTAACACAGTCAAACTGCATGAGAAAAAGGTTGAGGGAAAAGCAGGATCGAGGACACCTTGTCAAAATAAGTTGATTCTTTAAAGCAGTAAATTTGTTGTTTTCTTGCAAAAAGAAGAAAACTGAAAATAGTAAAGTAAATGTTTATTTTGCAATATAAATGAGCCCTTGAATTTTTAAAATTTGTCTTGAAAACCCCTTGAAAAGTCTTTAAATGTTCAGGTCAAAAGTTTATATGGACCATGTCATGATTTGTGAGAAGTTGTCAGTTAATGTGTAGGGATAAATGCATGCATATTAAACGGTAAAATGATGATGCGTAGCGGCTCAAAATTCATGCGTAACGGTACCATTGCGCTTAAACAGCCTGAGGATAACGCTGATTAATAGTGTTCTGAAGAAAATAAGTGAAAATGTTCTTCAAAGTATCAAATGAAGAATGTGTTGTTGTTTCCAATCAAAGCCAATCCTCATTATAACATATTGATTGCAATATAAGAAATAACAACTACAAATGGCTTTTTTGATAGAAAAAAAGAAATACAAGAAATTAATTTCAGATACGTTTTTGTTTTTAAATATGCGAAAGAAAGTAAACCAGTTTTATAAACAACCAGTATCGGTCAGGTAAGAAAAAAAGGAAATACAATTTTGTAAGCAGTTTATTCGAAGTTTAAAAATTGTAATGGTTTATGGTGAAATTTTGACAACGAAATTGCACTACAATGCCATCAAAATCTATATATCTGAATTTCTCCAGTTTGAATTCTCCCAACCATGATTGTACAATTCCACCAGTCGAAATACCTATGGCTAGTAGATCAGATAGTAGGACTAGCAAAATTATTCAAATTTTAAATTTTTACTCTGAAAATATGGGTTTGATTTGTAAACATTTCGTAGTATGCTTACAAGCTAGTACCTTAAATAATGAATTGCATAGCTCCTGCTAGCTTAACATCATTGAGTATATATTTCTTACAAAATTTCTCAAAGTCATTTTACTTGTGAAAATGTATAATATTTAAAGATTAACTGATTAATTTATGTGAGATGTTTATAGAAAGCATCGGGTGGAGAACCCATGGCCCAGATGGATGCTTTGGTGGCTGCTGTAGGAGTTGATGAGGAAGTGGTGTACTCTAAATCTACAGCCATGCAGGTAAGTTAGGATAGCTCACACCATTCTATATAGGATACAGGTAATAATAGGAAATTAAAACAGGTACAATCAGCAGACCCTCTGGACTAGAACTGAAGTGATGTCACATTTCTCACACTGATCTATCTAAATTATATATATATAAAAAAACAGTATTTCACTGTTATTTTTTTATGTGGGGCCATGTGGTGGCATATAGTGGTTAAGGCTTTTGACTGTCGACCATCACTGACCCTGCACCACTTGGTCAGGAGTTCGAGGCTTATGTGGGGCAGATGCTATAGGTACTTGCGTGGTTCAGTGGTTTTTCTCTGGAGACACCGGCTTTCCTAGGCCTCCACCACCACCAGTGCCTGGTGCATCCTTAAATGCTCATAGCTGTTAATAAGACAAAAAACAAAACAAAAATAAATTAAACGAACTTTATTGTTTTACTTCCTTGAATGATTTTAAATTGGCTGATGTGTATCTTATATTTCAGACCTGGTTGTTTGGGTATGAACTGACTGACACCATCATTGTGTTGTGTGAAAAATCCATCAACATCCTTGCCAGTAAAAAGAAAATAGAATTTCTGAAACAGGTTGACTCCTCCAAGGAAAATGATAATGGTGTTCCATCCATGAACCTTCTTGTTAGAGATAAGGTGAGTTTAATTAAATATTTAATTGCTTCTTTAAAAGATGATTTATCTAGCAAGGAGATATTCAGGAAAGTTTCTGATATCTAGGACAAGGGTGTGCAGTTTCACTAGCCTGTTTGATGCCTGGTGCTGGTAAATTTATGTCCAGGCTGTTGACATTTTTCAAAAGTTACTTTGAAGTTATATATTTTGTTACCGTAACACAATTTTAAAGGACCTGTTACAGGAACAAAAGAATTTTGCCCACAAAGCAATTTAACCATTACTGGTTTATATTTGTAGCTCCCTAAGACACGACCCATGAGATATTTTTAAAAAATTAAAAAGGTCCCCAGGGCCTGTGCTATGAACTATTTAGTGCCGCCTTCCAAAGGTGTACGACAGGGTTCACTTTATTGTCCAAAAAACTATCAAAACAATGTTTTACGCTATCAAATAATATTATATTATTTAAAGTAGGATCTGCTGCAAATTATGAACTCAAATATTTAACAAAAAATTGCATAATAAAAAAGTTATAAAATCTTAAACTCTAAAAATGTTGGTATTTTCATACACTTTTTTGCTACATCAATTGTTTTACGGAAGTAAAACACCAATTTCCGGTTCTTGTACACCAAAAATCTTTTAATATTATTTGGTGCATTATGTTGTGATATGATAGTGAAAATTTCAGGAAATTTGAGAACCGGTAAATTTGTCATATAAATGTCAAATTGTAGCAACGTCTATTTCCAATAAAATCCAACAACCTTATGACCTATAGTCATGTTTGATAATTTAACAATATGTCGCACCAATTTATTATCGCAACTGATCAAATTTTCATCAATAAGGTCTGCTGCTCATGATGAGCCCAACTATAAAGCTAGATGTTGCAAAATAAAAAAGTTATGCAGTCTCACACACATAAAAGTTTAGTATGTTATGTACATTTTTAGTTGTTTCGCATCTTTATGGAAGTGATAGACATATTTCCGTTTTTTGTACACCAACATACTTTGGATATTATTTGGCACATTATGTTGACTGACGCTAGTAGAAATTTCGAAAAAATCGGTATGCGGTAAATGTGTCATCTTAAGGATAATATGTTGTATGACCAATTTCAAAATAAATCTTCAATAACTACAGGTCAATGCAAGAACTTCATAATTAACCCAAAATCATTCCAATATACTATCAAGGTGGATGATATGGTTTATAGTAGAGTATACGTATGACTGTTTAACTAAACTAGGTAGTTAAAGGGGGGAATACAGCAAAAGTTAGGCAATTTGTCAGAACAATTGGTGTACCAGTATAATATGTTGAACCCATCACATTGTTTCTTTTTAGGAGAGTTATAGTTTCCAATTCATGGATTGTTGTATTTACAGTGGTTTTTTTTTAATTTGACAACACAAAGTCAAAATTGATCATTCAAATTTTTATTCTGAATTTCTCCTTTCTCAGTTCAATCTTAGGTCTCATTATTTTTTCATATTATTCCCGACAAGTAATTGGCCAGAAGTGCATCAAGTGTCGACTGATAAAAACTGATATTGACTTGGAGCACATGATTTTTGTTGAAGGACTGGGTGTTTCTAAAAATAGAATTATGACGTGTCTCCAAACAATGCACCATCCCACTTCCGAAGTTTTTTTGTTTTTTTTTCAGATTGCTTAGATTACTGTTTTGTAAAATAATAAAACAATTGAAGCTTTTAACTTCGGTTAATACCTGGATTTATCGACCCGAGAAAAGATATATTGACCTCGGAATGCGTCCTCGGTTAATATATCTTTTCTCGGGTTGATAAATCCAGGTATCGACCTCAGCCAAAGGCTATAATTGAATAATGTTTCTTTTTTGAATGCATTCATAATATGCAGTCTCTGAATTTGCGAGCTGAAGGCTGGAGCGGTTTAGCATCTGTTAAATGTGCATAGTATCATAGATAATACAGTATTGATGCGACATGAGTACACATACCCGATGTTCTCTTTCCTGCAGGACACACACAGTAGTATGCTTTGACAGGATCTTCTGATGCGTGTAGGTCAAACTCTATCCAGATATTGTATTTTGCCTGCGACCTGTGGCGAGGGTGTATTTGGCCTCGGAGAAGGTCATCAGCATGTTGGTACACCCATATCTCACAATCACCCCCATCTGCCTGATGTTCTGTGATATAGCCAGGTGCCAGCTTCAGCTGATATATACCACAAGCCAAAATCGCATTGACCTGTAGTTATTGACGATTTATTTTGATATTGGTCATACAACATATTATCCTTAAGATGACATATTTACCGGACACTGATTTTTTCGAAATTTCTACTATCGTCGGTCAACATAATGTGCCAAATAATATCCAAAGTATGTTGGTGTACACATACCGAAAATATGTCTATCACTTCTGTAAAGATGCGAAACAACTAAAAATGTACATAACATACTAAACTTTTATGTGTGTGAGACTGCATAACTTTTTTATTTTGCAACATCTAGCTTTATAGTTGGGCTCATCATGAGCAGCAGATCTTATTGATGAACATTTGATCAGTTGCGATAATAAATTGGTGCGACATATTGTTAAATTATCAAACATGACTATAGGTCATAAGGTTGTTGGATTTTATTTGGAAATAGACGTTGCTACAATTTGACATTTATATGACAAATTTACCGGCTTTCAACTTTGCTGAAATTTACACTATCGTATCTCAACATAATGCACCAAATAATATTAAAAGATTTTTGGTGTACAAGAACCGGAAATTGGTGTTTTACTTCCGTAAAACAATGGATGTAGCAAAAAAGTGTATGAAAATACCAACATTTTTAGAGTTTAAGATTTTATAACTTTTTTATTATGCATTTTTTTGTTACATATTTGAGTTCATAATTTGCAGCAGATCCTACTTTAAATAATATAATATTATTTGATAGCGTAAAACATTGTTTTGATAGTTTTTTGGACAAAAAAGTGAACCCTGTCGTACACCTTTGGAAGGCGGCACTAAATAGTTCATAGCACAGGCCCTGGGGACCTTTTTAATTTTTTAAAAATATCTCATGGGTCGTGTCTTAGGGAGCTACAAATATAACCCAGTAATGGTTAAATTGCTTTGTGGGCAAAATTCTTTTGTTCCTGTAACAGGTCCTTTGCCTGGACCTTAGTACTCTAATTATGAATTTGTACTTCCAAACTAGGATATACCTCACTGCTCTAAATTAGTTCACACATATTTTTTTTAATGATAAAGTTAAGGATAAATATATGCTACCTTACTTAGACTTTTATCTCCATTTAAAGAGTTTGGATTTGTTTCATAGTAAGAAAGCTGTAAATTCTGTTAATGGTTTTGACCTGAGGTTCGTTGATGTCACCTCTGAAATGTACAAAAAAAAAAATCCTTATCTGTGCATTGATAAATTAAACTTACTTCAGTTAAAGAAGATAACGTAAATAGAAGAGTAGCAACTCCTGAAGCTTTGTTTCTATAAAGTATATTCTTCCTTTGCCTGTGTTTGTTTACAGGGCGACAAAGACAAGGCCAACTTTCAGAAGCTGGTGTCTGCTATAAAAGGGAGTAAAAAGGTAATGACAAGTCTTGAACCTTATGTGTTTAGTCTGAATGAGTTACTTTTGTCTTTTACCCTTAAATTTGTTTGATGATTTTATTTTGCATTTGTTTTTGTCGACCATTTGTTGGCCCTAATGACCTATCCTGTAATGATGGGCCATTAAGCATTAAATAATATTAATAACACTGTTGAAATAAATCTGTATCAAATCTTGTAAGCTATAATGTATAATGAATTTATTTGTTCTTTTTTATTGGGGCAATTTCTTGAATGTATGTTCTTACTGTTGCCTTAACTGTTTGTATAAACTACTTTTAGGGTAAAACTGTTGGAGAATATTCAAAGGACAAATTTCCAGGAGATTTCATGAGCTCATGGCGAGCAGCTCTGAAGGGAGAGGGCTTTGAGAAAGTATGTATGATCATTAGACTTAACTCTGTGTGTTCAATATCATTAACCTACCTGTTGAATTAATTTTATCTGTACCCAGTACCGCCCGGTATCAGGTTGGGTGATCATTGACTGGTTATATAGAACAAACAACAATTTATCATACTCTCCTTGCAATCAATTTCCAACACTGTAACTCTGGTTATGGTGTTCCTTCAGGTTGACGTCAGCTCTACTATGGCATATGTGATGGCTTCAAAAGAAGAGTCGGAGGTGAAGGTCATTCAGCGAGCCTGCACTGTCACATGTGATATCTTCTCCAAGTATCTGAGGGATCAGATCATGGAGATTATTGATGCAGAGAAGGTGAGGACAGGATTATTGTGGCCCACATAGTCCAACAAATAGCAGATGTAGAGCAGAAAAATATCACGAAGTACCATATTTAGACAATTCAGTATTGTATCGCCCCTTTATGTTTCCTATTTTTCTAAAGGAATTTAATTTCACTTTTTGCTTTTCGGAAGGAAGATAATTTTTTTAGAATCAACACCTACAGTCTATAGTTCAAGGATGTTAAAAGTCAGTGTTGCATCATTAAAGGTTTCATTTTGTGTGCATTAAATGTACAAATAAATTGATGAGAGGCAAATATAGACTTATCAAAAGAAATAGACAAAACAATCAATGAATTTATTTTAAAATAACCAGATGACCCTAAACTTTTACCTTCTGTAGATACTTGACCAAACAAGTGCCCCTTATCCTTTCCTGGTCTGAACATCCGGTCATTTGCCATGGTTTACTGATTACTGTAATGTGCTCAGTGATGGTCAAATATTGCACATATCTTTATGATTAGTAGTCTTTTAATCATTATGAACAACGTTGTCCCAAAGACAAGGAAAAACTTATAAAACTTTTATTGGGTCTTTACTAGATAGTATTGTTATCTCTTACTATATACATTTGTCTCCTTTCTATCAGAAACTTTGGTCAGTGTTGCACATTTGAGCTAAAAATGATTTTATCTCCCTGACAGAAAGTGAAGCACTCCAAGCTAGCTGATGGGGTGGAGTTGGCCCTTCAAAACAAGAAATATGTGACAGGTGTGGACACGTCACAACTGGACATGTGTTACCCCGCGATCATACAGAGTGCTGGCAAGTACAGCCTAAAGTTTAGTACCACCAGGTAGGTACAGCCCTACGTTCTACATCATTAGATAGGTACTACCTCAGGTTCAGCAACATCAGCTAGGTACTACCTCAGGTTCAGTACAACTAGTTGATAGGTACTACCTCAGGTTCAGTACCATCAGATAGGTACTACCTAAGGTTTAGTGCCATTAGATAGGTACTACCTCAGGTTCAGTGCCATCAGATAGGTACTACCTCAGGTTCAGTACCATTAGATAGGTACTACCTCAGGTTCAGTAACATCAGCTAGGTACTACATCGGGTTCAGTCAGATAGGTACTACGTCGGGTTCAGTACCATTAGATAGGTACTCCCTCAGGTTCAGTACCACTAGATAGGTACTCCCTTAAGGTTCAGTTCCACTAGATAGGTACTACCTCAAGTTTAGTACCCCATGAGATATGTACTTCCTCAGGTTCAATACCACAAGATAGGTACTCCCTCGGGTTCAGTACCATTAGATAGGTACTTCCTCAAGTTCAGTACCCCATTAGATAGGTACTCCCTCAAGTTCAGTACCACTAGATAGGTACTCCCTCAGGTACAGTACCATCAGATAGGTACTACCTCAGGTTCAGTACCATCAGATAGGTACTACCTCAGGTTTAGTGCCATTAGATAGGTACTACCTCAGGTTCAGTGCCATCAGATAGGTACTACCTCAGGTTCAGTGCCATCAGATAGGTACTACATCGGGTTCAGTACCATTTGGAAGGTACATCCTTTAATACCATCGGCTGATGAGAGTTTAGAGCTATTGACTGTAATATGCAGCAAACTCCTTATTCTTTTCATCAATTATTCTTATTTAAAATTCAGTACCATTTGGAAGGTACATCCTTTAATACCATCGGCTGCTGAGAGGTTAGAGCTATTGACTGAAATATGCAGCAATCTCCTTATACTTTTCATCAAATATTCTTATTTAAAACATAGAGAAACTTAGAGAATCAAATATGTATTGGTTATACAATTGTAAGAGTTGTAACATATTTGTTACCGTATCGAGCTCTCCTGATGTCCTACCCACTTGTTTGTATGTTTAGTGATGACAGCGTGCTCCACTTTGGGACCATTATCTGTGCTATGGGAGTGAGGTACAAGTCCTACTGTTCCAACATTGTCCGCACTCTGTTTGTGGATCCTACAGAGCCCATGCAGAAGAACTATGAGTTCCTGACACTGGTGGAAGACGAAATTCTTAACAAACTTCAGGACGGTAAGATGATGGTCAATCTTCTTTATATCTGACAGACCTGGGTGACAAAAGTTTAGAGATCTATTTTGGGGGGGGGTTATCAAGTTGTTAACCCTTTCACCACTGTAGATCATAATGGACTCATCCAGATCAATGCATGGTAGAATCTTCTAAAGTTACATGGGGGTGAAAGGGTTAAGTGCACTGAGTATTCTGACAGTATGCCATAAATTGACCGATCATATCTTGCTCTAACTTGCAATTAAATATACAAGAGAACCAATGTTGGCTAGTTTCACTTAACGGGGAAGACTTTACCAGGACGTTTTACAATGTTTCACACAAATTGAATACTCTTTGGATGGATCTCATTTATACTGTGTTGTAACAGACTAATGAAATTAAAAGTGCTTTAGCCAATGGCAGATAACAATGGTTAACAGTATATCATTGTCTAGGACATAATATGGGATGTCCTGTAATTGTTAGTATGATTATGTAAAAGCTATGTCCTCACCTATGATCATGATGTCACAATTTCATCACACAATGTATCTTGCCAACATAGCGTAATTATGTCTCTCCTTCATAAGAAAGATTGTGTGCGGGTTCTTCTGTTGCTGCTAATAGCATCTTGTCTAGGCTGTAATTTTTAACCATGAGATAAAGGTTGACTTGTGTTCGCCAAAACAAATATCTAGTTGAAATATGTTTTTTGCAGGTGTCCGACTTAGTGAAGTGTATGAGCATGCTGTGAGCTATGTTAAGAAGGAGCGATCAGAGTTACTTGACAAGATGACCAAGAATGTCGGGTTCGCCATGGGAATCGAGTTCAGGGAAGGCTCACTTCTTATCTCTGGGAAAACGAACATCAAAGCTAAGAAAGGTGAGACAGTGATCAAAAATAAATGCTTACAAGTGAAAAAGCCTGCCAGCATATCTTTATGCTTAATCGTCAGTTGTTTTTTTTTGCCCAGTTTTTTAGTCGACAACAGTTTGCTTTCCCTATTATGAAATTGTTTTATTTTCCAAAAGATAATGAATAACTTTCCAATTTTCATGAAAGTAATGCTTTATTTTCCTAAATCATGTAGGAACACGCTGTGGTAAAATTTAGGAAGAAAAAACACTGATGGTAGTTAAACTGCACACATAAATCTGTATTCCATTTTACATTTCTCTGTAGTCTGCATACCTACCCCTGAAAAATGGAGATTTGGTCAATGCATTTATTTAACACAATTTCGTAGAAAATCACAGATGTTTGATATATATACTTCTGTACTACTGGGTTGTCAGGCAGTCGCCAGGTTTTTCTCTGGGGAACTCCAGCTTTCCTCCACCACCAAAACCTGGCATTTCCTTAAATGACCATCGCTGTTAATAGGATGTAAAACACAAATAAACCAAACTGTCCGATGTTACCATGAATTATTGTCAGTATCACTTAGTATGTCTGATGCATATAAATAGGCAAGTGTTTTCACTGTTGTAACAGACAACCATAATGCCGAGTCGCTGATAGCCGAGATATTTTCATTCTAACAGGGATGGTATTCAACATCAACGTTGGGTTTTCTGACCTGAAGAACAAGGGCGCCAAAGACAAATCAAGTGAGGTGTACGCTGTGTTCCTGGGTGACACTGTCATGGTTAATGAGGTACAACTAAACAAAGTTATCCTTACAATTAAACTATCATCAAGTAGGTAGTACTGTTTTATCATGACTACACTGTGTTCTGTTGTAATTGAATCTAATGATAATCTTTTCATCAGGAATTTGACCGAGATATTTAGGGCCACCGTTTTGAGTATACTGTGATAATGTATGTTGTTTTTAATGGAAACTGTACTTCTGAAGAAAGTTGGAAAAATAAAGTATGTTATTATCATCTAAATCATTTTATTTTCTTAATCCATAAAGAGTTCAAATTAGATGCAAAACAATGGTTATCAGTACATAGTATATTTGATTTTCTTAATTTTTCACTGTCATGGAGTAGCATTTCATTATTCCATGAAGTCTGGACCCAATTGAAATTGATGTGAAAAATCTTACTTCAATAGAAATATGCAAAATATTGAAACTTGAAAATTCAATTTTGGAATTATTCGCAAAACAATTAGCAACATTTGTAGTGTATAATGGATATGTTAGTTCAAAACTGTCTTTTCTGTACAGGGATCACCATGTTCTTTGCTGACAACAATGAAGAAGAAAATTAAACATGTAGGAATTTTTCTAAAAGATGAAGAGGAGGAGGAAGAGGAAGAAGAAGAGGAGCCAGAACAAGAAGCACTCCTAGGGCGAGGACAAAGGAATGCTGTCATGGGAAGTAGGACCAGGGTGAGTCACTGGGTTAGGGCCAAAGGAATGCTGTTTTGGGAAGTAGGACCAGGGTGAGTCACTGGGGTAGGGCCAAAGGAATGCTGTTTTGGGAGGTAGGTCCAGGGTGAGTCACTGTGGTAGAGACAAAAGGAATGCTGGCCTTGGAAGTAGGGCCAGGGTGAGTCACTGGGGTAGGGCCAAAGGAATGCTGTCCTGGGAAGTAGGACCAGGGTGAGTCACTGGGGTAGGGCCAAAGGAATGCTGGCCTGGGAAGTAGGACCAGGGTGAATCACTGGGGTAGGGACAAAGGAATGCTGTCCTTGGAAGTAGGACCAGGGTGAGTCACTGGGGTAGGGACAAAGGAATGCTGGCCTAGGAGGTAGGACCAGGGTGAGTCACTGGGGTAGGGACAACTGGAAAGTAGGACCAGGATGAAGCACGGGGGGTGGGGACAAAGTACTGCTGTCCTGGGGAGTTAAAACAGGGACATATTGCTGTACTCGGGGGTAGGACCAGGATGAGTAGCTGGGATGGGGACAAGAGTAGATTGAATTATAAGATATGCTTCTTACATGAAGGCTGTATGAAAGGTCAAATACTGGAATACAGTACAGCAACAAAGAGATTGGAGACACAATTCATGTACATTAGAGACACTGACTGAATAGCTCGTTTTGTGCTCCTTTTGTGCTGATTTAGCTTCTGTGTATCACATTCCACAGCAATTTCATTTTCATTATAAACACCCAAAAACATGTGATATGGAAACTGAACTTGAGATTTACATTAAAGCAAAAGAACATTTGACCCTGTTAAGTAGCAGTGCTATGCAGAATAACAAAAATAGAATAGATCACACAGCTAAAGTAATGTTGGTACAAAAATGCTTGTGGTTCATTTAGACCGAGATGACAACAGAGGAAAAACGAGCAAAACATCAGAAGGAGCTGTCTGAGAGACTGAACGATGAAGCCAAGGAGAGACTGAAGGGGATGAAAGGAGGCACTGAGGACAAAAAGTAAATTAATATAAGTTTTGTCACTTTGTCTTTATTACCTATAAGTAACAAGTAAGGAGTTTTTATTACCTATAAGTAACAAGTAAGGAGTTTTTATTCCCTATAGGTAACAAGTAAGGAGTTTTTATTACCTATAAGTAACAAGTAAGGAGTTTTTATTACCTATAAGTAACAAGTAAGGAGTTTTTATTCCCTATAAGTAACAAGTAAGGAGTTTTTATTACCTATAAGTAACAAGTAAGGAGTTTTTATTACCTATAAGTAACAAGTAAGGAGTTTTTATTACCTATAAGTAACAAGTAAGGAGTTTTTATTACCTATAAGTAACAAGTAAGGAGTTTTTATTACCTATAAGTAACAAGTAAGGAGTTTTTATTACCTATAAGTAACAAGTAAGGAGTTTTTATTACCTATAAGTAACAAGTAAGGAGTTTTTATTACCTATAAGTAACAAGTAAGGAGTTTTTATTACCTATAAGTAACAAGTAAGGAGTTTTTATTACCTATAAGTAACAAGTAAGGAGTTTTTATTACCTATAAGTAACAAGTAAGGAGTTTTTATTACCTATAAGTAACAAGTAAGGAGTTTTTATTACCTATAAGTAACAAGTAAGGAGTTTTTATTACCTATAAGTAACAAGTAAGGAGTTTTTATTACCTATAAGTAACAAGTAAGGAGTTTTTATTACCTATAAGTAACAAGTAAGGAGTTTTTATTACCTATAAGTAACAAGTAAGGAGTTTTTATTACCTATAAGTAACAAGTAAGGAGTTTTTATTACCTATAAGTAACAAGTAAGGAGTTTTTATTACCTATAAGTAACAAGTAAGGAGTTTTTATTACCTATAAGTAACAAGTAAGGAGTTTTTATTACCTATAAGTAACAAGTAAGGAGTTTTTATTACCTATAAGTAACAAGTAAGGAGTTTTTATTACCTATAAGTAACAAGTAAGGAGTTTTTATTACCTATAAGTAACAAGTAAGGAGTTTTTATTCCCTATAAGAGTAACAAGTAAGGAGTTTTTATTACCTATAAGTAACAAGTAAGGAGTTTTTATTACCTATAAGTTACAAGTAAGGAGTTTTTATTACCTATAAGTAACAAGTAAAGAGTTTTTATTACCTATAAGTAGCAAGTAAGGAGTTTTTATTACCTATAAGTAACAAGTAAAGAGTTTTTATCCGAAAAACAATTGGTTGAAACCCTGTTTTTTGAAAGACTGTCCTATATAACTTAGAACCTGGGAGTACAGAATATCAAAAATCTTTAGAATGAACCCAAAATCAAAAACTCATGGGGAACATGTCTGTTTTCACCTAAAAATTGAAAATCACCTGATGAACTGTTTCAATAAGGAGGGGGTTTTGGCACATCCATGTTTAACTTAGCAGGTTTGCCTGTAGACAAGTTTTATAGAATGATGCACAGTTTAACAAAATACTGTATGGAAATCTTTAACACTTTATTTTATTTCTTTCCTCTTGTAATTTTAGGGTTCGGAGGTCCAATGCCTCTTACAAGAATCCTTCACACATGCCGCAGGAGTCACAGTTACGAGAACTAAAGCTGTTTGTCGGTGAGTATGGATGAGCATAAATGTCAACTGGGGTATGATATGTAACAACCAACTAATGTATTAGGCAAATAACTTTCGGACAGGCACAAAATTCTAGGGTCGGTAGGGTAATGGAAAACTCACATATTTTTTTGCCTTATATGTATAAAAAAACAAATATGCATTTCTACAGTTGGCATTCATACTGCCTATGATTTCCATTGTAGTTGTACAGTTAACTGCATCTATGATTGTTTTCTTTTGTTGATAAAATAGTTAGAGATGGGAAAAAAGGAAATGAGACATAATTAAGTTGCATTCCAGTTATGTTGGTTTTCAGATAAGAAATACGAGACTGTGATTCTGCCCATTTTCGGGATTCCGACACCTTTCCATATATCCACTGTGAAGGTAAATTATCACAACACCCTGTGAAAGTGAAGTATTTTAATGTTAAGAATCTTAAACCACTATATTATCTAAACTCATATCTTGATTCTCAGTAGAGTGGTGATTATTGCTTCAGCGTGTACCACTTTAACTCATTCACCCCTGAAATTTCATAATGAACTATTTCAGCCTTTGAATTGGAAGAGTTCAAATGTGTCTTCATTCAGGGGTGAATGAGTTAATACAACCAAGCGCTGTCAATTACATATGGTCTGGACTACGGCAGCTAATGCAGTAATACAATCCTCAAAGGAGGAGTAGTATCTACACATATTTGTTAATAAGTTACAAAAATAAAAAATATGACATGGCAGCCAGTTAAGCATAGAATATTCATCAATAAAATCACTATGCAGCTTTGTTGTCTATTCACCAATAGTTATTTTTGTGGTCTTGAAACAGTCTGCCATTTCGCTGCTATTTCGCTCTGTGTTGAGTTTGTTATTTGATGTTACCTATTATGTAGTTCTTTTAAGCAGAGTGTTTTACAGCCATGTAATATTGCAGATTTCTGAAGAAGTCTGATAAACACTTTATGAAAATTGCCTACTGTATTCTGTAATTGGAAACTTATAGCACACCAAGCCAATTAGTGGTATCAATATTCTGTGTTATGAAGAATGTCATTGTAATGTCCCTGTTTGTACAGAACATCAGTCAGTCGGTGGAGGGTGACTACACCTACCTGCGTATTAACTTCTTCCATCCGGGGTCAGCACTTGGAAGAACTGACGGAAACCTGTATCCTCAACCAGATGCTACTTTTCTCAAGGAAATGTAGGTTAATTTTGTTTGATGTGTATTTGACTTTCCTACGACTTTTCCTGATATGAAAATGTTTATTATACGCCCGTCAAATTTGACAGGAGTATTATGGTATGGCGTTGTCCGGCCGGCGTAAACTTTTGTTTGTCCGGCAATCTCCTCCTACATTTTTCAACCGATCTCTTTGAAAATTGGTATACATAATGATCATGATATGAAGTTGTGTCTCCCTCAAAAGAATTTTGATTCAACAATATTTACAAAAGTTATTGCCCTTTGTTCATTTCAGTATTTGAATTTTTGTCCGGCAATATCCTCCTACATTTTTTGACCGATCTCTTTGAAACTTGGTATACATAATGATCATGATATGAAATTGTGTCTTTCTTAAAAGAATTTTGATTCCACAATTTTTACAAAAGTTATTGCCCTTTGTTCATTTCAGTATTTGAATTTTTGTCCGGCAATATCCTCCTACATTTTTTGACCGATCTCTTTGAAACTTGGTATACATAATGATCATGATATAATGTTGTGTTTCCTTGATAAGAATTGTGATTCGACATTTTTTGCAAAAGTTATTGCCCTTTGTTCATTTCAGTATTTGTTTTTTTTTATCCGGAGATTTTATCCTACATTTTAATAGCATGTCAGCTAACCACTCGTTGAATGGTGCAGATCTTATTTCAATGTAAGAAAGTATATACACTATATGGCATTCGACGGGCGTATATTGTTCTGTCCAGCGGTACTCTTGTTTTTAACGGAATATCCCTTTAGCTTTAAAGGTGCAAATTCATTTTGGTAAATTTCTTACCATTCATGCACACTTGATTTCACAACATGTTTGCAGGACACTTGATTTCACAACATGTTTGCAGGACATTAAACATGTTTCACATGTGAAAATGATGCTATATGTAGGCAGTTGTTATTTTGGTACTTAAATTTATGCAAAAACATCACATGGATAATAAGTAATCTACTGTACTAGGAACAGTAATATTCAAACTAGTTCTTTAAATTCAGGTGTTATTTGTCCATTACTGTACTTTGTGGTGTATCAATTAGATATCTCTTTACTATTCAGCACTTACCGAAGTTCTAACACCAAAGAACCCGGGGAGATTTCTGCACCATCCTCAAATCTTAATACAGCCTTCCGCCTCATCAAGGAGGTACAGAAGAAGTTCAAGACAAGGGAAGCAGAGGAGAGAGAAAAAGAGGTGAGTCAGAAACTACCACAAGACAAATTGCAGTGATAATCCTGGAGGGGGCCATTGACCCATCAATGTTTTGATTTTCTTTTAATTTTACATAGAGTGGCCCCTCTTAATTTTGATATTGACTAAAAAAAATGCTGAAAATAGCCCACTGCTCTCAAATTCCAGGATTTTCCCTAGACAAGTATCAGATTGTATTTAGGAGCACCTATTGAGCAGTTTTAATCTTCCAGTGCCGAAATTCTGTTATACTGTTGCTCAGTGTTACATGTTCTTGAAAGAATGTTCATTTATTTTGACAGAACAAGGATTGGCGACAATTAAGGTTCAATAGACAGATGATAATTAAAAATCAACAGATATTAAATTTATGTTATAGATGATTTAATTTAAATGCACAACTTACTAGAAATGGTATTATTTGGTAGGATGACTTGGTCTCACAGACTGGTGAAAGTTACTACCTACTGTCGTCTCAGGTCTGCATTGATCTTACCGTCCAAAATGAAATGGCCTTTATAATTTCAGGGCATTGTAAAACAAGACACCCTCGTTATCAACCCCAACAGAGGAAACCCCAAGCTGAAGGACCTCTACATCAGACCAAACATTGTGTCCAAAAGGATCTCTGGGACACTGGAGGCACACACCAATGGTAAGTTCCACTCATAGTGATTCTAGTTTTGTGATGCTAGGTGGTTTGTTTGTATTTTACGTCCTATTAACAGCTATGGTCATTTAAGGATGTGCCAGGTTTTGGTAGAGGAGATAAGCCAGAGTTCCTGGAATAAAACACCGACCTCAACCAGTACCTAACGACTGCCCCATGTAGGCCTCAAACCTAGGTGGCACTCTCCAAAAATATAAGTTTAATTGTACCAACACTCGGGCTGAGGCTGGGTTTGTGTACCAGGAGGTGCAGACACGTAGCAAGTCTGGGTTTGATATTATGAAGTGCATTGCCTCAATAAGTATAGGTTTGTGATATTGAAAGCACTTATATGCCAGTGATGTTAGGATGTTTTAAAGAAACTCATTTCTTTATCAATAAACCAAGATTAAAGGTGTAAACCATCTTTGACTCAGTTTGAGTGAATTATTTCTGCTTTCGTGTAAAAGTACTTCTGAACTTGAAATTTAAAATTGGCATATCTAGGTCACCTATGTACTGTCACTACTGACACTTTTAGTTTAAATATAGTCTATTTTGAAAGATTTTAAAAAGGTTTGGAGAACTTATGAATGAAATCTCTTCCATATTTGGTACCTTGTGATTTAAATACATTTTCAAAATCCAGGTTTCAGATTCACATCTGTTCGTGGTGACAAAGTGGACATTCTGTATAACAACATAAAGAATGCATTTTTCCAGCCATGTGATGGAGAAATGATTATTCTGCTTCACTTCCATCTGAAGGTAAATAACATCCTCATCAATGGAGCTCAAAGTTACAGTTAAATATTAACGACGAAGTAAATTTAACTCTGTGTTAGATGACGTGTTTGGTATCCAAGGCTAAATTTACATACATTATAAATTAAAAGTATATTTCTCCTGTGGTGCCTTGAATATAAGGTGCTTCCAGTATGGAGCAGGTATTTTTTTAAAAGAAACTGAACAGTTTTGTATGATGCCATTGGTCACTCCTTACTTGAACGATGTTATATGATACATGTGTGTTGGTTTCTGTAGCATGCCATCCTGTTTGGTAAGAAGAAGCATGTCGATGTCCAGTTCTACACTGAAGTTGGTGAGATCACGACAGATCTTGGCAAACATCAGCACATGCATGACAGAGATGATCTACACGCAGAACAGGTATATCTACCTTCTTATCAACAAGACAGATAACTTCTCTGCCGGTAAATTAACCCTTAATAGTTCCCGCACGTTTCACAATTAACAATAGTACATTACAAATTTGCCAACAGTAAAAAGCAGGTTCATTTTAGTTCATTTCCATTTTCATGAAATAAATCCAGTATTTGTGCAGTTCTGTTTAACATGCATTTGCTGTTCTCTCTCTCATTAGGCTGAACGTGAGTTGAGACAAAAGTTGAAGTCGGCCTTCAAGGGCTTCTGTGAGAAGGTGGAGGGCATTACGAAACAGGACATTGAATTTGATTCTCCATTCCGAGAGCTTGGTTTCCATGGCGCCCCCTACAGAAGCACAGTGCTGCTGCAGCCCACCAGTGGCTGTGTGGTTAACCTGGTGGAATGGGTAAGACTTACAGTAATCAATCTACAAATATTTTGTATGTGTCTTTTTCCGCTATATGGTTAAAAGATAGGGGTCCTACCATGTTAAATTTCAGTATTTTCAAAAAATCTATAGGTACAGGACCAAGGACTTGCATGTAGATTTATCACTGGGTCACTTATCCTGTTGACCTAATCTACATACCCTGTTTGAGCATTCCTGGCTACATTGAATGTAATGCATTGTGTTACAGTCTGCTCATTCAAAGACAGGGGGAGAACTTGACATGTGATGGTATTAACCCTTTCACCCTTATGTAACTTTAGTAGACTCTGCCATTGATATGGATGAGTCCATTATGGTCTACAGTGTTGAAAGGGTTAAGAGGTGAAAATTCACATGATAAACAGTTGAGGATGTGGAATTACCATTCTGTTTTTACTCCAAGAAAAAAGTATTTGGTTACGTTTCATTGTCAGTCGTCACCATGTAGTCATTTATGTATCAGAATGCAAAATTAAGCAAGACATGTTACATTATAATTGATTAACCCTTTCACCCCTTTGAAACTTCAGTAGACTCTACCATGCATTGATATGTATGAGTGCATTATGGTCGACAGTGGTGAAAGGGTTTATAGAAATGATTTTTTGTAATCAGATCACAAAAAAATGTTATGGATGTACACACACTGACCTGGCTTCTCTTACCCACAGCCACCATTTGTGATATCCCTAGAGGAAGTGGAGTGTATCCATTTTGAAAGAGTCCAGTTCCACCTCAAGAACTTCGACATGGTGTTCGTGTTTAAGGATTACAGTCGTAAGGTGGCCATGATCAACTCGATACCTATGAACGTGTTGGACAACGTCAAAGAATGGCTCAAGTAAAGATACCACTTATTATTCTAAACCTTACATAGACCGCTGTGGTGCATTTTAAACATCAAATATGATAGGTTGCTTGGCACTTTGGCAAAGTTGCGGAAATGTACTTGTTAGTTATCATGACATCGTGAATCAAACTGATATTCTTGAAGCAGTAAAATTTTGAAAATATTTTATGAATTTGTTTCTTCAGAAACAAGATTTACAGTATTTGAAACAGATTGCATTATAAAGATTAGAAAAGAAAGAGTTTATTAAATGTTAAAACTTGATTCTCTGGCTTTCAGCTCCTGTGATGTGCGGTATACGGAAGGAATTCAGAGTTTGAACTGGTCCAAAATCATGAAAACTATCACGGATGATCCTGAAGGTTTCTTTGATAGTGGTGGCTGGACTTTCTTAGATCCTGAAAGTGATGTATGTATTTTTTGTGGTCTGTCATAAGAATGAATCATTTAATCCATTTCCCTAAAAAAACTGGAGAGCATTTTGGTCAAAATAAAGCCCGACCATCAGGGGACGGACCTTGGTCAAAATATATTCCAACCATCAGGGGACGGACCGTGGTCAAAGTATAGCCAAACCATCAGGGAACGGACCTTGGTCAAAATATAGCCCAACCATCGGGGGACGGACCTTGGTCAAAATATAGCCCAACCATCGGGGGACGGACCTTGGTCAAAATATGGCCCGAACATCAAGAGATGGACCTTGGTCAAAATATAGCCCGAACATCAAGGGACGGACCTTGGTCAAAATATAGCCCAACCATCAGGGGACGGACCTTGGTCAAAATATAGCCCAACCATCGGGGGACGGACCTTGGTCAAAATATAGCCCAACCATCGGGGGACGGACCTTGGTCAAAATATAGCCCGAACATCAAGAGATGGACCTTGGTCAAAATATAGCCCAACCATCAGGGGACGGACCTTGGTCAAAATATAGCCCAACCATCGGGGGACGGACCTTGGTCAAAATATAGCCCAACCATCGGGGGACGGACCTTGGTCAAAATATAGCCCGAACATCAAGAGATGGACCTTGGTCAAAATATAGCCCAACCATCAGGGGACGGACCTTGGTCAAAATATAGCCCGAACACCAGGGGACCTTTTATCATATGACCTTGACTGCTGTTTATTTTTCTAAGTGTTAGGTGTAAACTAGGAAATTGGAGAATTCTGCTCGCAGATGAAGAATTGATAGATTTCTTTTTTAAGGTGTAGATTTTTCATTCTGTGTTGCCAAACGCTTTTAGCTTCATTTCATTTTAATGCAAATAATGTATGTAACTTGAACAAAGAGACATTGACATGTGGTACAGTAGAATCAGGATAAAAATGACCTGTAGAAAAACGAGATATTTCTTACTGTAGGCTGAGGCAAATGATGACGACGATGATGAAGAAGATGAGGTATATGCGCCTACTGATGAGAATAGCGCTGGAGAGGAGAGTAGCGAAGATTACTCTGAGGAGGAGAGTGACTGGGAAGGCGAGGAAGAGGAGGAGGAAGAGGATTCAGGTATATATGTTGTATTACTAAAAGTGGTTCATTTTTCAAAGTTGTCATTGTCTGGGGCATGTTTCACCTACTGTCTTTAGAAACCTATTCCTTCAATATGGATATTTTAACCTGTTTTGGTCTGAGGCATCCTTTATCCTGGGGCCTTTCTGTTTATGTGGAACAACCGGTTTGCCTGTTTTTAAAAGTAACGTTTTTGGTTGTAAATCCTGGCGGACCTGCAAATGTTTATGCAGGCATTGCAAGGCTTTGTCAAGGCTCGCCTGAAAGTAGCATCAGATTACTAGGTCCGACTTAATTTCATAAACGAACAACTCTGGTCAAACCGGTTCAACCGTTTCGATGGTAATAAACAAAAGCGACCCAGGGGACTCTTGTCTGTATAAGCAAAGGATGTGGTCCAATGGGGCAGTGCAGAGGGGCTCAATAGGCGAATCCTTGCTAAAAAAAAATAAGACAAAAAAAATATTTATACAAAACCTTACCTTCATGGCACAGGGATGATTCATACAAAATATTGTCAAAATTCTGTCAGGCTTTCTGGATTTGTCAACTTTAAAAGATAAAGCCATGACAAACTGACCATGTACCACAGCATTAACTTGCTTTGCAATTTTGGCAAGGTAAGCTGAAAATTCATCCATTAATCTTTTATTATTAAATATTTGCAGAAGACGACCTTGGATCCAGTGAAGAGAGCGGTAAAGATTGGGATGAGTTGGAGGAAGAAGCTCGCAGAGGTAAATATGTCTTATAAATGGTCATCATGATCAGCTGTAGTATTTTGGTGTCTTCTCACTAAATATGTGTATTATTGATTACAGTACAGTAGTCAGTATCCACGATTCAAGCTTGATATAAAATTCAGTTTTATTTACCTACGGTATACAGGGAAATGTTCACCTTTGTTTAGCATCTTCTTACTAAATACGTGTATTATTGATTACAGTACAGTAGTCAGTATCCAAGATTCAAGCTTGATATAAAATTCAGTTTTATTTACCTACGGTATACAGGGAAATGTTCACCTTTGTTTAGCATCTTCTTACTAAATATGTGTATTATTGATTACAGTACAGTAGTCAGTATCCACGATTCAAGCTTGATATAAAATTCAGTTTTATTTCCCTACTGTATACAGGGAAATGTTCACCTTTGTTTGCCCTCCACAATGCTGGCGAATTTATCATTACAACGAACATTAGTGATATAATGAACATAGTAATCAAGTGTGAAAGGCGATATTGGATTTCATTGGCGTCGGGCAAAAACTTTATGGGCGAAAGGTTCTCTGTATTCAGTATTAAATTCAGTGATTAATTTTGATATCTGGTTAGGGCTATTCACTTAAAACATACCCGTACTCCACGGACGGCAAAATAAATAATTTCTGTGCGTGTTTGGTGTGAGCAAAAAAAGGCTTCTGTACCATATGCTGTTCTGGGGGAAATAACTTCTGTTTATGGTCCATTATTGTCATTGAAATTAAATAAAATCTATTACATTGTTGCACCTTAAGTTCATCTGGTAAAATTGTGTTTGTTTTATCTTTTTTTCCCCCATTTCAATGTCGGGAAACGTTGAAAATGTATTGGCCCGACGCCACCAGATTTTCAGCTAGGGCTAATGACTTTTATAGGATGTCATAACTAACAAAAGTAGTTGATTTTTGTCCGGCAATCTCCTCCTACATTTTTCAATGGATCTCTTTGAAACTTGGTATACATTATAATCATGTTATGAAGTTGTGTCTCCCTTAAAAGAATTTTGATTCAACGTTTTTTGCAAAAGTTGTTTATTTCAGTATTTGTTTTTTTGTCCAGAGATTTTCTCCTACCTTTTTTTATAGCATGTCAGCTAACCACTCTTAGAATGATGTAGATCTTATTTCAATGTAAGAAAGTATATCAACACTATATGGCATTCGACGGGCGTATATTGTTCCGCCCCGCTGTACTCTTGTTTTTTAAGGAAAACATATTCATCTCTGAATGAGATATAGATTGTATGATTATGTTGACAGCTTGATCCATTTTGTATTTGTCGGGATAGCAGAATTTTATTTTAGGCTAGTGGATTATTAGTGTCGTCTAGCCCCAGGCTAGGATACTGAAGAATATTTTTACGCTCCTGCTGTAGGAACAAAACAAAACAAAAAACTTGTGTTTCCGCTATTATACTCAGAAAAAATAGGGTAAGTAGGTAGGGATTTATTTTTATTTTTGAAAATATTTTTACTTTGCTTATATAAAGCATAAGTTCTGACATTAACAGTGCTTATCACAAAATGCCAATAAAAACTTTAGGGACAGGTTGGGGACAAAAATCTAGAGGCAACCAGAGACATAGAATTCTATGTCTCTGAGGCAACACAAGATTTTTTATTTGGCCTAAATGATGTTTTTATTGTAGTATCTATAATTATCAATATGGATTTAAATTGCTTCTATGGATGGAAATAAATTGTTTCTACGGTTGGTCCTAAAACCCTGAAATATGCATCTACGCCATATACCTCCCTTGGAAAAAACGCTTCTGTGGGTGGTCCCCCCCCCAAAAAAAAGTGCCTTTCGGGAGGGGTATGTTTTAATGGAATAGCCCTTACTACATCAGTTGTTTTTTAAGGAAAACTAAATTTGATAATTATAACTACTTGAACTGTTTTGAAGGAGAACTTAATTTAATCATTTTAATATTTTAGCGGATGCTGAAGGTGACATGATGGTAGAACAACCACGGAGCCACAAGTCCCATCATAAGTCGCACCATCGATCACCCAGCAAGTCCTTGTCGCACAAATCAACTAGTAAATCTTCACACAAGTCCTCCAGCAAACCTTCATCTCATAAATCGCCTAGCAAGTCTTCATCCCACGGAAAATCATCTTCATCCCACGGAAAATCATCTTCATCCCATGGAAAATCATCTTCATCCCATGGAAAATCTTCCTCTCACAGTAAATCTTCATCATCCCACAAATCTCCAAGTAAATCTTCATCCTCCCACAAATCTCCAAGTAAATCTTCATCCTCCTCTTCCTCAAACAAGCGGAAGCGCGAAGAGAGTGGAGATCGTCATGACAAGAAGAAAAAGAGGTGAAGAGATTCTGAAACAATGTCAGAAGAACAAGCAGAAAAAAACCTGTAAAAAATGTTGATATTTGTCGGTCATTATTACAGTGTATATACTGTATAGAAGTGAATATGTGGTGTGTTAAACATTTCTTCGATGTGCCCTTTAGTTTTATATCGGTGTTATCAATGTCGGAACAAAGAAATGTGATAGTATAGTGAAAGAACAAACCTATGTGATTATGTAATGTTAAAATGGTGAAGTTCACATTCAAGAAGTGCTTTGCTGATATTGTACATATTACTATTTCTGTTGGTATTCTAAATGACCACTATTGTATATATCGAGGCTGGCATATGTGGGCTTCCATTCTGGCTTTTAATACCTCATCTGTTAGTACCCAGTTAGTAAACACAAACACTAAACATCCTTAAAAACTTCATACATGTGCCAGTCATCATCAGTGAGAAACTTAGTTGGGACCACATCTGTTATATATTCAGCATTGTCTGCATCAGCACGATTCCTGTAACATTTTAGCCTGTGAGGTTGTATTCTGGTACAGTAACTGTTCATTATCATAGTTCCTTTTAACATCAATGTCCATTCGTTTGGGACTGACTTGTATGGTTCGACACTTACCAAAAACCCAGGTCATGTAAAAGATTTGTCACTTAAATGCTTCGCTCAGCCAGGAAATGTTGACGTCTTGACTTGTAACTTTAACTGTGTGGGTCTTGTAATTGTAAAATCCACAAGCTCCATGGGATAATTGGTGGAAAGGAAGGCTCAAACAAGCTGTTTGAATCATTTTCATTTGATTGGCTTAAATTTAAAAAAATGTTTGAACAGTGATGACTGAAGTAAATTAACTCTGAGGACTGGTGCAAGGAACAGCATAATTTATTTGTGGATATTATAGTCACTAATGTTTAAAATAAAAACTCTGAATAATCTATTGTCATATTCGTTCTTAAGTCCAGTGAACTAAATTGAAAGTGGCAATTTTTGTCCTTAAATAAAGGCGCAAATTTAACAAGGAACAATACATGTCAATCTTGAAATACTTTATGTAGAAATGCAAAATCATAAAGGTAAAAAAATGATTATTGCCTTTGATTTGTATCCTTACGGCCTAACTTCATTTGACTTTCTCTATTAGAAATTCTGGTAAAATGTGTGTATGTGTGAATTAACACTGCATTATGATGTTTTATAAATCACAATTAGTTACTTAAATAAGATTGGGGTTGGGGGATTACGATCAAATTAATCTACGATATGTACAGACAATTAAAAAGAAAACTTCTGTTGTATTCTTCTACAAGTACAAGATATGGTTTATTGTTTGTGCTAACATCAGTGCTGAATAAAGAATGAATGTACACCATTTCTGATTTGGTTATATTTAAAAGAGAGAAATCAACATGAAGATGAAGATTTTAATCAACAAGAATTACTTACGTGTAATTATGTCGCCTGTCCTGCTTTGTCAATATAATAAGCATTTGACATAGTACATAAGGAAACGGACCTTAATGCAAAATCATAACAAGTCCAAAAGTTTCAGGTTTTTGAGGTTTTTAGCCCAAAAATACAGAAATCGTTGAAATGCTAGTAAATAGTGTAATGCATTCAGCTATACATCCCATGATACACCTATGACCCAAGTTTGGTTGCTCTAGCATTTATACTTTGTCAGAAACAGCCTAAGATGTAATAGCTAAACGCAAAACCTTAACGTTGAGTTTTTTTCTAAGTCCAGAAATTTGATTTTTTTACCAAAAAAATGCAGAAATCAATGAAATGTTTTTAGTGCAGTAGGCTCCACTACCCATGCTTCATCTATGATCGAGGTTTTGTTGCTGTAGCTTTGTCAAAGACAGAGCTAAACTTGAAACCTTAACATTGTTGACGCCGCCGTCGGAAAAGCAACGCCTATGTGTCTTTCCGACATCCGTCGTAGGCGACACAAAAACTGCCATGACCAATCAGCCATGAAAATACAACATACAATATTGCATGAATCAAAAGTTGAGGCCTCTGCAAAATCAAAATATATGTGAATTTCGACCAATTAGGCAAAAGCCAGTATACGAAGACTGTCTTGTCAGATCAGAAAACGGATGCCGCGGTTAAGTTCGCAGTGCCAAAATACATGTACTTAACCAAATTTGATTGAAATCGAACAATAACTGAATTTCGACCAATCGGAAGCCAGTATAGGTGACCATTATAACAAATCAAAAAATGGATAACAGGCTGAGTTTGCAGTGACAAAATACACCTACATACAAAATTTGAGCGAAATTGAACAATATCTGAATTTCGACCAATCAGAAGCCAATATACGGCAACCATGTTGTCAAATCACAAACTGGACGGTGCAGTTGAGTTTGCAACGCTAAAATACACTTGCATACTAATTTTGGAGACAAAATACACATTGTATAATTAATTTATAAAAAAATGCAAAGATATAAGTATAATCTAGGTTTAATTTTGACAGCACTTGTACTTTGTGAGAAATTAAGCTCAACCCCCAGCTAAACGGAAAACTTAAACATAGTACAATTAATTAAACAAAGTCCAATGAACAGTACTGTAGGTGAAATTCAAAATCTGAAATGTGTGTAGGGATGCCCATGCATAGATAAAAGTATAATCCAGGTTTGGTTATGACAGCGCATATACTTCGTGAGAAATTGAACTCGACCCCCAGCTAAACGGAAAACTTTAACATGGTCCAATTAATTAAACAAAGTCCAACTCAAAGTAGATTTTAGTTGAAAATCTGAAATGTGAGTTTGGATGGTTATATATAGATATATGTAGATTTCAGGTTTCATTATGATAGCTTATGTACTTAGAGAGAAATTTAGCTTAATGTGGAGCTAAACAGAAAACTTCACCATGGGCCAATTAATTAACAAAGTCTAATTAACAGTAATTTTTTGTTAAAATTCTGAATCTGAAATGTGCATTTGAATGGTAATATATAGATACAAGTATATTTCAGGTTTCATTAAGATACCTTATGTTCTTATAGAGAAATTTGGAGTTTAACAGAAATGTTGACGCGGCCGGAAAAGTAACGCCTATGTCTCGCTTCGTGACTCCATCGCAGGCGAGACAGAAATTCTATTTATAAAAGTGATGATCATGTTTTTGACTTAAGTTTATAAAGCAAAATCGTACAATAGTAATATTTCAAACATGGATGTTTAGTTTCATGACAATCGGGATATAAGTTGGCAATGCAATGTCAGAAAAATTCTATTTATAGTACACTGGTGACCTTATTTTTGATCTCGGGGTTATTTTAAAACATGTACTTTTGCAATAAGTAATGTTTTGAACATGTATAAATCTGCAGAGCAATGACATGTATGTATATTACATATACTCAATGATTGGTTGTGCAAGTGTAAAATTTTAAATACAAGTCATCAACAAGAGGCCCAAGGGGCCTGGATCGCTCACCTGGTATTATCTAACAATTGTAACCTTAAAAGTATACTTAAATAAAGCTACAGGCAAAATATTGGTACCTTGTCATTCAGAAAAACCTGTTTCAACGATTTAAACACATTTGACACATGACCTTTAAAGTCAAACATGGACATTAAATTGAACAAACTTTATAGCCTTCATCCCAGAATGCAACTTGTAAAATATCAGCACCTTAATGGCCCTATAAGATTTATGCACTGTGGACCAGCTGTGACCTTGAAAGCGTGTCAAGGTCATTCACATGCACAAGCAATCACCCTGGACACTTTAATCAAATAACCCTTGGGACCTTGAATATGGGTGAAAGTCATTCATTTGAACCAACTTGGTAGCATGCCAACATGCTTCTGGCCTAATATATCATCACCCTAAACCTTTTGGTATACAGAAGTAGTTTAAAGGTTTTTATGACAATTGCCTCCTGTGACCTTGAATATGAGCAAGGTGATTGGGCCAGGTGAGCTGACAATGAAGTTGTAATGGGAGAAAGAGAAATGTAAAGGCCAGATCGGGATTCGAACCTAGGACCTTCTGAGCTTTAGATGGATGCATGCTCTACCAATTGAGCTACCTGGTCGCTGACGATCAACCCAGTCAAGTTCTGCTACAAAGGTATTATGCATTTAGCAAACATGCATTTATTGTCCAAGGTATATGTCGCCTACATGACAGACAAATCATACATCGTGATCAGATAAAATAGTTTATTGTACATTTATCACATTGAGCCTCCACAATTTCTCACTTTTATATACGACTTGCATATCATTCAGAAGTAATGGGATATGAAATACTATCAGCAGCATTGCAGGATATGAAATTTGCCTGTACTCGATGAAAAAACATGATTTATCTTAATAATCTTGTGAAAAATGAACATCTGCAACAGTCTGTCAGACTGCGACTTAAGTACTTTGTGTAATGCATACCGTAATAACACATTGTTAAGTTAGATATTTCGTTTATGTTAAAGAATGAGTTTTATAAATAAGAGATGCAAATAAATTCAGGATTGTTTCTACCACAATTTATGTCATCTGGATTTTTTTGCACTTTTTTTTTTAACTTGAATTAACAATCAAGATATCTAATATCATAAAATAACCCGAGATCAAAAACAAGGTCACCAGTGTACTATAAATAGATTTTTTCTGACATTGCTCTGCCAACATAAAGCGAATCTTCATCAGGACAGCAAGATATTACAAAATATCCCCTGAGATACCCTCAGGGAGGGGGGGGGGGCTCCTTTTTATCTTGTGGCGTCATACATAATGGACATTCTATGACGTTAGTTACAAAGGCGAAGGTCGAAGAGCCCCATTGATCAACCCATCTATACAACCACAAGACATTGGCTCTGCAATTATTATTTTTTATTTCGTTTGAGGTAACAAACTATTAAAGGATATAAATTTGCGAGTAAGAAACAAACTTAAGACATACAGGTGTTCGGGGAATTATAGAGGACAGATAATTCTCATTGAGTAATATTTGTCAATACATATAAATACTAAGTCGTCTGTACTAATGTGCTTGACTTGTTTCGTAGTGAGAAGTATAGGTATAGAAAGGAAGAAGGAAAGGACAGAAATAATAGTCACAATCGTGATTTCTTTTACAGCGACACATACAGACATCTAACATTAGACACACAAAATTCATGCACATTCTTAATTTCCACATGTAAAAATTAATTGCAGAATGGTAGCAGTTGATCCTTGTTCTGAGATCCTCCCATCTGTGTTGGCAAACGATTAACTAGAATTTGTGACAGATGACACTGAATCTAGTTTCATGTTTGTATTCACATCCCGTAGAACACAATAAATTCTCACATCCCGTAGAACACAATAAATTACCAACGTTTTTAGAGTACAGTTCTACAATATTCATTATCCACAAGAGCCAGATAACGGGTGATTAGAGAAGAAATGTGTCTTGTCTGTTAGACACAGTCCAGTCTTAGATGTCCAACTGTCTGTAATCTTTAGGTCAATGTTTACAATGATTATATACCACACAACACCTCACACCTATATTTCACTTGTATGCAGAGTATTTGCAATTTTCAGCTCTAAATATTCACTCCCGGCATCCTGAATATCTGCTTGGTATTCTGAACTGAACGTCCATATTTATCCTCCTATCTGGAGAATGTTGTCTATGGCTTCCTTCAGCTGATCACAAAATGGTTCTACGGCGAATAGCTTTATGGTGGCATTGGACGCTGATTTTCTTTGATCCAGGGATGTTCCAGTACTTTTTCCAAAGTTATTCGCTGACTAGGGTCATGTTTCAGCAACTAAAAGTACAAAAAATAACAAGGTTTTATCACCAGTTCACATAAATTGTATTCACTTCATCGGTTGACAAGGACTGTTACAGAAACTAGACATATCACTAAATCTATTTAAGCTGCATCCAGACTACTAAAGGGGCGGACCAAGGATTTTTAAAATACATGTACTTGTTATGAACAAAAGCCATCATTTTCATATGCCACCTGCATGGTAAGTTGAGTATTATTCATAGAATGATTGACTTAAATTTTACTATCAATTTGTACCAATAAGCTAATATCATCAACAGAAAATTGGGATTGAAAACAGCCAGAAATTTCAATTATAATATTGGCCTTTATGAATCTCCACTGACAGCCATTCTCAATATATCAATGCACTGCAAGAAAAGTGTAGATATTTTGCAGAAACACTTGATCAGACACTTAGAAAGGATTAACTGTTTACATGACTTGTAACACAGTGCATATTTTTATCAAATAAAGTTAGACAAAGATCTCACCAAACTGATAAGATTTCTAGCAGGAGTGGACACATGTGATGGGAACTGAAGATCCACTTTTGTTATCCGCCTGTAGGTGTCTGTTTGGCTAGCAGCCTCAAACGGAGGCTTTCCCACCAGGAACTCGTAACACAGCACGCCAAGACTCCATAGATCCACCTTCTCGTCGTGAAGTTTGCCCTCAACCATTTCTGGAGGTAGATAATCTAAGGTGCCACACAATGTGGTTCTCCTGTAAATCAAATATTGTATGTAAAACATATTATGAAGCACAAAAAATCTGGCTAGGAATCATCAAAATCTTAATTCATGCTGAGATCTAAATCCAGTAACATTTAAAAATCATATAGTTATCATCATCATCATCATCATCATCATCATCGTCATCATTATGAAAAAAAACTGAATTCATTTTACAACAATTCTGAAAGAGGTCATTGAAGAATTTCAAATGTTCATCAGTGTAAAGGAAGCTAATATGAAAAGTAGTTTGAATCTCTAGGAATTATATCAGGACTTTCAGCATACTGAATCTCGGATAAGCAGTGAGCACTACCCTGACATGGTCTTATCGTGATACAGCTTGTATAAAATTTCAATAGCAAATTGTGCATTTATGCCACAGTTATACATGTCATCAATTTTTCCTTTAAATGCTATAGCTTTGCAAGTTAAGAATGATATTGATCAGGAATTTTGACCAAATTACGTCTATTAAAGACATTGCTTGGCCCAAGGTACTCAAAATTGTATAATGGCACAGGGGCATGGCCCAATGCGTAAAATGAGGGGGAATCCAGATTTCCTTCTCTTTTAGTACCAGTCAAAACCATGTGTCTGGAACATCCTTTAGGGAAGGAGAATTAATTAACACTGTTTAAAACACTTGAGAGAGGGGCAGGGTCAAATGAGGGAAATAAAGTTAAGTCTTGAAAATTTTACTCCATCAGTACGGAGGAAGGGATTTTAACCAAATTCGGCCTGAAGCATGTTGGGGCCCAAAGGGACTCCATGTTGCATTAAAGGAAGAGGATGGATGGGCCGAATCGAGTGAATAGAGTTTAATATGAAAAGTACAGATAATGGAATCTTCACCTAATTTGGTCCAGAAAATTCTTGCGCCTGGAGACTCGATGTTGTAAACAGATAGTGTGTTATTGAAAAGGAAGGGGGTGTTTAGATTGACCAGTTAAGATTGTTACTTAATGGAAGAGGGTGTTTAGACTGACCAGTTAAGATTGTTACTAACATGGAAGAGGGTGTTTAGATTGACCAGTTAAGATTGTTACTTACCTTGAAGAGGGTGTTTAGACTGACCAGTTAAGATTGTTGCTTTCCTTGAAGAGGATGTTAATACTGACCAGTTACGATTGTTGCTTTCCTTGAAGAGGGTGTTTAGATTGACCAGTTAAGATGGTTGCTTTCCTTGAAGAGGGTGTTTAGACTGACCAATTAAGATTGTTACTTACCTTTAATATGGTGTTTAGATTGACCAGTTAAGATTGTAACTAACCTTGAAGAGGGTGTTAATACTGACCAGTCAAGATTGTTATTTACCTTGAAGAGGGTGTTTAGATTGACTAGTTAAGATTGTTGCTTTCCTTTAATATGGTGTTTAGATTGACCAGTTAAGATTGTTACTTACCTTTAATATGGTGTTTAGATTGACCAGTTAAGATTGCTACTTACAAGGAAGATGGTGTTTAGATTGACCAGTTAAGATTGTTACTTACCTTGAATAGGGTGTTTATACTGACCAGTCAAGATTGTTACTTACCATGAAGAGGGTGTTAATACTGACCAGTTAAGATTGTTGCTTTCCTTGAAGAGGGTGTTAATACTGACCAGTTAAGATTGCTGCTTTCCTTGAAGAGGGTGTTTAGACTGACCAGTTAAGATTGTTACTTTCCTTGAAGAGGGTATTCAGATTGACCAGTTAAGATTGTTGCTTTCCTTGAAGAGGGTATTAATACTGACCAGTTAAGATTGCTGCTTTCCTTGAAGAGGGTGTTTAGACTGACCAGTAAAGATTGTTACTTTCCTTGAAGAGGGTATTCAGATTGACCAGTTAAGATTGTTACTTACCTTGAATAGGGTGTTTATACTGACCAGTCAAGATTGTTCCTTACCATGAAGAGGGTGTTAATACTGACCAGTTACGATTGTTGCTTTCCTTGAAGAGGGTGTTTAGATTGACCAGTTAAGATTGTTACTTACCATGAAGAGGGTGTTAATACTGACCAGTTACGATTGTTGCTTTCCTTGAAGAGGGTGTTTAGATTGACCAGTTAAGATTGTTACTTACCATGAAGAGGGTGTTAATACTGACCAGTTACGATTGTTGCTTTCCTTGAAGAGGGTGTTTAGATTGACCAGTTAAGATTGTTACTTACCATGAAGAGGGTGTTAATACTGACCAGTTACGATTGTTGCTTTCCTTGAAGAGGGTGTTTATACTGACCAGTCAAGATTGTTACTTACCATGAAGTGGGTGTTAATACTGACCAGTTAAGATTGTTGCTTTTCTTGAAGAGGGTATTCAGATTGACCAGTTAAGATTGTTGCTTTCCTTGAAGAGGATGTTTATACTGACCAGTCAAGATTGTTACTTGCCATGAAGAGGGTGTTAATACTGACCAGTTAAGATTGTTGCTTTTCTTGAAGAGGGTATTCAGATTGACCAGTTAAGATTGTTGCTTTCCTTGAAGAGGGTGTTCAGACTGACCAGTAACGACTGTTACTTACCTTTAATATGGTGTTTAGATTGACCAGTCAAGATTGTTACTTACCATGAAGAGGGCGTTAATACTGACCAGTTAAGATTGTTGCTTTCCTTGAGGAGGGTGTTAATACTGACCAGTTAAGATTGCTGCTTTCCGTGAAGAGGGTGTTTAGACTGACCAGTTAAGATTGTTACTTTCCTTGAAGAGGGTATTCAGATTGACCAGTTAAGATTGCTACTTACCTTGAAGAGGGTGTTTATACTGACCAGTCACGATTGTTACTTACCATGAAGAGGGTGTTAATACTGGCCAGTTAAGATTGTTGCTTTCCTTGAAGAGGGTGTTAATACTGACCAGTTAAGATTGTTGCTTTTCTTGAAGAGGGTATTCAGATTGACCAGTTAAGATTGTTGCTTTCCTTGAAGAGTGGATTCAGATTGACCAGTTAAGATTGTTACTTACCTTGAATAGGGTGTTTATACTGACCAGTCAAGATTGTTACTTAACATGAAGAGGGTGTTAATACTGACCAGTTAAGATTGTTGCTTTCCTTGAGGAGGGTGTTAATACTGACCAGTTAAGATTGCTGCTTTCCGTGAAGAGGGTGTTTAGACTGACCAGTTAAGATTGTTACTTTCCTTGAAGAGGGTATTCAGATTGACCAGTTAAGATTGTTACTTACCTTGAAGAGGGTATTTAGACTGACCAGTTAAGATTGTTGCTTTCCTTGAAGAGGGTGTTTATACTGACCAGTCAAGATTGTTACTTACCATGAAGAGGGTGTTAATACTGACCAGTTAAGATTGTTACTTACCTTGAAGAGGGTGTTAATACTGACCAGTTAAGATTGTTTCTTACCTGGAAGAGGGTGTTTAGATTGACCAGTTAAGATTGTTACTAACCTTGAAGAGGTTGTTTAGACTGATCAGTTAAGATTGTTACTTACCTTGAAGAGGGTGTTTAGACTTACCAGTTAAGATTGTTGCTTTCCTTGAAGAGGGTGTTCAGATTGACCAGTTAAGATTGTTACTTAGCTTGAGGAGGGTGTTTAGACTGACCAGTTAAGATTGTTACTTACCTGGAAGAGGGTGTTTAGATTGACCAGTATACAATTTATTATATTACCAAATAAATATTAATATCAATGCTGCATGCAATGTTGCCATTGCTTCAACACTGAGTCGCGGTCACCGAAACGCTTGAAGGGGGCTCTCGAGGGGAGATTTCTGCGCATCGAATTCGCGCCGGGTAACAGTTTGCTCTGACCGGGAAAACAGTTTTGACTGTTTCACCCCTACAGCCGAAATTGGACAAAAAGCCATAAACAGTCAAAAATGTCTAATTATAATTCATATAGACTATTGGGTAATAATTAAGATTGTTACTAACCTTGAAGAGGGTGTTTATACTGACCAGTCAAGATTGTTACATACCATGAAGAGGGTGTTAATACTGACCAGTAACGACTGTTACTTACCTTTAATATGGTGTTTAGATTAACCAGTTAAGATTGTTACTTACCTTGAAGAGGGTGTTTATACTGACCAGTCAAGATTGTTACATACCATGAAGAGGGTTTTAATACTGACCAGTAACGACTGTGACTTACCTTTAATATGGTGTTTAGATTAACCAGTTAAGATTGTTACTTACCTTGAAGAGGGTGTTTATACAGACCAGTCAAGATTGTTACTCACCATGAAGAGGGTGTTCAGATTGACCAGTAACAACTGTTACTTACCTTTAATATGGTGTTTAGATTGACCAGTTAAGATTGTTACTTACCATGAAGAGGGTGTTAATACTGACCAGTTAAGATTGTTGCTTTCCTTGAAGAGGGTGTTTATACAGACCAGTCAAGATTGTTACTCACCATGAAGAGGGTGTTTAGACTGACCAGTTAAGATTGTTACTTACCATGAAGAGGGTGTTTAGATTGACCAGTTAAGATTGTTACTTACCTTGAAGAGGGTGTTTAGACTGACCAGTTAAGATTTTTACTTACCTGGAAGAGGGTGCATGGACAGACCAACCAAAATCAGCGATTTTGAGGTCACCTGTGAGTCCCAAGAGGAGGTTTTCAGGTTTAATGTCTCTGTGGATGACCTTTTTACTGTGGCAATACAGCAGGGCACTGGCCATTTGGAACATGTACTATGGAAACATAAATAAGCATGAATTCAATGAAATAGATTTGTTCCTAATCTTCACAATGTGTATCTGCCTAATTGATTTAATTGAAATTGAGTAATGATGCAGAAACCATCGGCCAATCAGACTGTAAGATCGCTTTTCAGAGATGCACAAGATCCATCCAGCATCTGTCTATCCCACTTCTGTTTCTGCACTCCTTAATTTGACTTCCTGTTGTTTAATCATATGTTTACATTCTAAACAACCAAGACAACAGTGATAATCTGATAGCTGTCATAACAATATGGAAAATACTAATGTGAGGTCCCCATTTTGGGTTTTTTGTCCAGAAACTTGGATCTTGGAAACATCATTATCTTACCTGCATTGCAACAACTTATTTGGTTGCCCCCCCCCCCCTTGGCTAGATACACATTCAAAACAAACTTAAATCAGAGCATACAGTAATTTCTGTTAAGTTAATGATGTGATAGAGAGATATGAACAGTTTCTGATTGGAAAAACATAGCTCTTGGTTTTGTGCTTCCAAGACAACTTTTAATAGACAGAACTTACTGTAGCTGTTCGCTTCTCATCAAATCTTGTAACCTTCATCAGCTCTTTGTACAGTTCGCCCTTTGGTGCATACTCCAGGACAAGGTAGACTCGTGTTTTGTCGTGGAAATATTGAAACAAACGCAGGATATGGGGATGTCTGCAATATTTGGAAAATTATTCTCTTTTTATTTTGAATACAGTTGTATTTAAACCACAACACCATTATCTTGAACCTAGTTACAAAGTCCATCACCTGGAATTACCACAGCACAATTTTTTATATATTCATTCAATTAAAATTTTCAATTTTAAAGTCATTTTAAAGTCATTTAAAATTATTTCAACCAGCCAATACCATGAACTGTCTATCCCTCAAAATTTCATTATGTAGATTATACTCGACATCTACCTTTAGTATAACATATCTGCTTTCTACTTACCTGAGATGTGACTGTATTTCTATCTCACGACGAAGTTGATGCTCAACACCATTTTTCTGTAACTGTGACTTGAACAGAACCTAGAAGGAGAACAATACACTTGCATTTTACCTGCATTGGAATAATAAATCAGGGTTGAAATTCAATTAAAATTTATACCTATTAAAAATCATGGGAATAGTGGCAAATCTCAAAGGTATCACTTTAACTTCTCTTTATTTTATATCACACACACGAGTATAATGCTAGGTTTTTCAAGGTCATCCGTGCAATTATCAAGAAAAAATGTTTGAATGTGGAGCTAACAGTTTGCAGCTTGAAGTTGCTGCGCAAATTTCAAGTTAATCCTACGATATTGAAGCCCTTGTGTATGGACTATCAGATTATGGGAATATTCTGTTCCTTCAAGATAAGTGTATGATAAATGCGTTTGGGAACTTGTATTAACAAGAAACCGCCAATGGCGATATGGCCAGATTGCTACAGTACATTTTCATGTAAAGCATCACATGTGATAAGCATCCTTTAAGATACATAATCCATGCAAGTTTAGTTGATGTACAACAAGTAGTTACTTAATTAGTAACTGACCTTAACCAATCTTCTTGACCTGGTAACTGAAGTGAAAAATGTAGGTCAGAACTAGCATCTAAAGCATGTCATGTGTTAAGCATTCTTAGATACATTTATGCAATGCAACTTTAGTTGATGTACAATAAGTAGTTACTTAGTAACTGACCTTAACCAATCTTCTTAACCTGGTCACTGATGCGGTAAATGTTGGTCAGAACCAGCATTCCCATGTGATAATTATAAGCATCCTAAGATACATAAGCCATGCAAGTTAAATTGTTGTAGGATAAGTAGTTACTGGTAAGTGACCTAAACCAATCTTCTTAACCATATTGCAGAAGGGGCCTGACCTCAACCAATCTTCTTGACCTGGTATGCGGAAAATGTAGGTCAGAACTAGCATCTAAAGCATGTCATGTGATAAGCATTCTTAGATACATTTATGCAATGCAACTTTAGTTGATGTACAATTAGTAGTTACTTAGTAACTGACCTTAACCAATCTTCTTAACCTGGTCACTGATGCGGTAAATGTTGGTCAGAACCAGCATTCCCATGTGATAATTATAAGCATCCTAAGATACATAAGCCATGCAAGTTAAATTGTTGTAGGATAAGTAGTTACTGGTAAGTGACCTAAACCAATCTTCTTAGCCATATTGCAGAAGGGGCCTGACCTCAACCAATCTTCTTGACCTGGTCACTAATGCGGAAAATGTAGGTCAGAACCAGCATCTGAAGCATTGCATGTGATAAGCATCCTTCGATACATAAGCCATGCAAGTTTAGTTGATGCAGGATAATTAATTACTTGGTAACAGAACTTAACCATTCTTCTTTACCTTAGTGCAGACAGAGGTACGGACGGAAAACGCCAATCTATAAGCCCTGATTGCGTTGTAATCTGGCCAAAAATGCCAGACGTTATTCTACACATAGGTATCTGGCATAAAAAAAACATGTTTTTGAGATGTTTTTTCTCTCTGGATTTAAGCAGTGATAATATGCGTATCACATCATGATAAGGGACATATGTGCTTCTGGTAAACACCAGTAATCTGAGAGCTGTCATAAATTAATAACATGGAAAAACACTGATGTGAGTTCCCCATTTTTTCGGGGGTCCATAAACTTGTATCTTAAACAACATATCATCTTACCTTTATTGCAACTATATATTTGGTTGACTTCTCTCTTGCCAGATAGACATTTCCGAACTTTCCTTTACCTAGAGGCCTTCCAATATCGAAATCCTGCAAGGACCACTTCTTCCTGAAAAAATAACAAGATTTAAAATAAACAGTCATTTCAGATTTTCATTTGTAACGAGCCATTCGGATTTATATGTCTTGCCTTTACCCCGCTTTGACCATCAATGCACATATCAGAGAAACTACCAGTAACTTAGACACAAAAACTTATGTTGATGGAGATGCTGACAAAGTCAATGGACCATGAAAGGTAGGCCGCATCCAGCATTTGATTTATACTTTCAGTGAAACTAACTTAAACGCAAAACCTTAATGTTGACGCTGCCGTCGCCAGAAAAGCAACACTTTAGTGTCGCTACCACTTCGTGACAGAGAAGCAATAAAACAGTATTTGACAGAATTTGACTTTACCCTTCTGGTTGTGTGGAGGTATTCTCCTTGGCCTGTAACGTGACTGTTCCAGGTTTGAAAGGTGATGTGAGATCTGTACTGCTAAAACTGTTCACAGGTTTCAGCACACGCCCAGGCTCAATAGCCATCTTTTACAGACAGCGTATTTACGATCAGGTTATTGGTCACCTGGAATATGAAGACAAAGTTGGCTTACAATAGATCAAAATACTAGTTTAAACTCTATTTTAATTGAGACCACACACACACACACCACTCTTTGTAAAGAAATATAACAAACACTGTCAATAAAGTAAAATTGGTTTAAGTGTTATGAATGTTACTAACAATGGAGTGGGAAATTTCCATCTTACACCCCATTTCACGACACGTCACAAATTAGGAAAACACTGATGCCGCAATGCGGAAAAGGCAAAGTGATAAAATTAAAACCTTTTATGATATATTTATCGTACACGTTAGAAAGATGAGATTATTTTTTCTTCACAAACTTTGTTTGCAAATATAGGGTATGCTAACTCTTGCTGACAAATTCGTTTTGGTAAAAAAGAAATGGGAAAAAATTGATATTTTCAAAATGGATGCCAGTCCAAAACACACTTTCATGGTTTCTGAGCTTATTCTGGTAGTTGGAAGGAGAGAAAAATACTCTTTCATGACCAAGGGTGTAGGATAGGGAAATTCCACCTTCAGGATTTTGGAATCTGGCGAAACCCTCTGCAAAGCCTCTTGTTTTACCAAATTTGAAAACCCCTCGGTTGGAATTTCCCTTTCCTACACCCCTGGGCATGAAATAGTCTTATATTCTCATATTTTCATGTGTATAAGATAGAGCTGTCCAGGGTATAAAGAAAGGGGTGTCGGAAATTTCTATCTTACACCCCATTTCACGTGACGTGAAGTGACAATGGCTCAACATTGACGTGACGTCACAAATTTGGAACTCTCCGATGCTGCAATGCAGAAAAGGCAACGTGATGAAATTAAAACCTTTTAAGGTATATTTACTTTATACGTTAGAAAGATGAGATTCATTTTTCTGCGTAAACTTTGTTTGCAAATACGGGGTATGCTAAATCTCGCTGACAAATTTGTTTTGGTTAAAAAAACTTGGGGGAATATTAATATTTTCAAAATGGTAGCCAGTCCAAACACACTTTCATGGTTCCTGAGCTTATTCGGGATTTTCGAATTTGGCGAAACCATCTGGTTTTAGCAAATTTGAAAACCCCTCGGTTGGAATAAAGAGTCTTATAATATTCATTTGCATTAATCATGTGAATTGGAAAATATATTAGATACTATCAGAACAGTTAGTCATAAATGTGCGATTATTATAATGTTTGATATAGGGTTAGGGTAGCCAAAATGGAACCCTTTTTACAGAAAAATATAACATTTCCTATAAAGTTTCATAAAGACCATTTTTTTTACTTTTAATGAAACAATACATGCAGCATGTGTGTCTATTTATAGAGCTCATTAAAATGCGGAATTGGAATTCAGCTGGTCGAGTACCCAAAATGGAACACTTCATCATATAGGTCAGTTTATGTAAATAACTGACGGCATTTAAGTAATTTTCTTCATTTAAAAAATGTTTTGACAATTTCTGCTAAATTTTTCTTATTTATTCCCTAAAATATTCGTTTGAACATTTTATTTCATGTTTAGAAATATGATAGAATATTTGTTGTCGCATCGTACTGTTTCTCAGGATTGTTTTTCATTTCGTTTTTTAATGTTTAAGAGGTAGACAGATGATATTTGCATAAAATGCATAAAACTATATAAATTTTGATTGAGAATACATGTATAATATTATTTTTTATTGTAAAAAAAAACAATTCTGTGTCATATATATCAAAAGTGTTCCATTTTGGGTACCCTCACCATAGACATAGAGGCAGAAGGCCTTCATCCAATGCTAATATTTACAAGAAAGACAATAATGTGCTTCCACTCGGGATCAGACCCAGGCAAATTGAGTAAAGAGAAATTCCATCTAGCGTGAAACCAGAACTGCAGGAGGCAGGTTTTTTTTAATACATATACAAAATATTGACCCCCTTTATCAAGTTGAAGAGTATGTGACAGTGAGAGGATGCTAACGCTAAGAAGAGAAGAAACAAAAAATAGGGAGAGATAGGAAGAAATGACTTTGAGAATTGCAGATTTGAAAGCCGAAGTCAAGGAAATTGATGCAATGTCAGGTGACAAGGAGTTCCAGTCAATGATTGTTCTTGGAAAGAAGAAGAATTTACGTGCCAGCTGTGTTCTAAATGAGAGAGTGTGATATGTATTCTGGTGTTCATGTCTTGTAAGGCGGGTTGGAGGGACAAGGATATCTTTTCTGGTGTTGATTTTATTGTATGTAGTTAGCTGTATATCGTTCCTTCTGTGTTCAAGGAAATGCCGGTTTAGGTGTTCCATCATGTCACCAACATTGAAGATGTTTGTGGGTGACAAATATGAATTCTCTCCTATGTTCCATTTCTATTTTTGATAAAAAAAATTACATCAAAATAGCAAAAATAAATTCTGACAGATTTCACTCAAATTCAATGCATGTTCATGTAAAATAAATACAAAGCAAACACTTCTTCTTCCGTTTCAAGGATCAGAAATCAAAGGTTGGAGTGCGATTGACCCTGGGACACATACTGGATAGTGAATTAACAAACTAAACGTTAAAAAATTGTGTTACTCATAATATTCACGTGTGTGTTACGGGGGGGGGGGGGGGGGGGGCAATATTTCGGTCCAAGATATACTGGATCGCCCAGAAGCTTATATTTACAACAGCGATGATATAAAGTTAAATAATAACACATTTGTCTATATATAACTATTGACGTTTGAGTAAATTGACTTAAAAATCGTCTTCGTGCTGTTATTAAGCATACCAATGAAGCGGTGTCATCTCGTTCAGTTACATTGAAATTACATTGCAATTTAAGTTTCTAACCGATTTCAACACGTGGTCCAAGCATAGGGCCGGTTATATTTAGTATCAAGTCAGTTGTCAATGTCGATTTTTTTCAAGACCTTGGTTTAACCAAGAAACGGTCAGCTTCATTGTTTACAGTCGAGATGGACATATGGCTGCGGACCGGGACGACGAGTACGATTTCCCGAAGTTCCGTGTTTGAAATTCGTGTCGAACAATTTGATTGGCTGTAATTTCTTCGGTAAACTAAGGGAGGGCTCACACAACTAGGTGTTATTACTAAGCTTTTGAGCTAATAGCGTTAATATTTGGAAGTTCAACACTAGAGACAACTGTCTAAATTCACAGATACATACCTGACAAAGGATTCAAAAGGTATTTTTTGGTGAGTTTGGTCACGGAATTAGATTAGAAAAGAGCGCTACAGGCGTCTGCTTTTGACAACCGGAAGTACAAGCCAAACCGGTGAAGCGCCAGTCGGAGGCCCAGTCGAGGGGGGACACCCATGTCATCAATCGGGAACCGTCGGCACTTTCCGTAACGAAAATGGTTCCCGATTGCCATGACATTGGACCCCATATCAATCCGCCATCACATTTTTTGCCAAGTGAGCTGATGCCGTGGTGCGGCGTCCGTCGTCCGTCCGTCGTTCGGCGTCAATATTTTATTTAAAACGACTTCTTCTTAATAACCGAAAGGCCTAGGGTGATGATATTTGGCCAGAAGCAAACTGGGATGAAGGGCTACCAAGTTTGTTCAAATAAATGACCTTCATCTATTTTCAAGGTAACAGGGGTCAATTGTTTAAAAAAATCTTTATACAACTTCTTCTGAATAACTAAGGGGCCTAGGATAATGATATTTAGGCAGTAATATGCTAGGATAAAGGGCTACTAATTTTTGTTAATATTAATTACCTTTACCTATATTCAAGGTCACAGGGGTCAAATATGTTTAAAACATTTAAACAACTTCCTCTCTATAACCAAGAGGCCTAGGATGATGCTATTTGACCAGTAGCATGCTGTAATAGAGGGCTACAGAGTTTGTTCAAATGAATGACCTCTACTTAAATTCAAGGTCACAGGGGTCAAATATGTTTAAAACATTTAAACAACTTCTCAATAACCAAGAGGCCTAGGAGGATGCTATTTGACCAGAAGCATAGTGTAATAGAGGGCTACAGAGTTTGTTCAAATGAATGACCTTGACTTATATTCAAGGTCATCGGGGTCAAATATGTTTAAAACCTTCACACAACTTCTCCTGAATACCCAAGAAGCCTAGATCAATGATATTTGACCAGTATCATGCTCAGATGAAGGGCTACCAAGTTTGTTCAAACAAACGACCTTCACCTATTTTTAAGGTCACATGGGTCAAATATGTTTAAAACCTTTAAATAACTTCTCCTGAATATCCAAGAGGCATAGGCTATTGACATTTTGTCAGTAACATGCTGGGATAAAGGGCTACCAAGTTTATTCAAATGAATTACCTTCATCTATTTTCAAGGTCACAGGGGTCAAATATGTTTTAAAACTTTAAACAACTTCTTCTCAATAACCAAAAGGCCTTGGATGATGATATTTGGCCATTAACATGCTGGGATAAAGGGCTACCAAGTTTGTTCAAATATATGACCTTTGCTCATATTCAAGGTCACAGGGATCAACTATGTTTAAATCTTTAAATGACTTGTTCTGAATATTTAAAAGGTTCAGGGTAATGATATTTAGCTAGAAATATGCCGGGACGGAAGGCTATAAACTTTCAAGGTCGCAGGCGTCATATGTTTAAATCATTTAATAGATTCAAATGGATCGAACACAGATATTTCGCCTGTAGCTGTATATTAGTCCACTTTTAAGATTACAAGTGTGAGATTAATATCAGGTGAGCGATTCAGGCCCATTGGGCCTCTTGTTTTCTACAGTTCAATATCTGTAGATTTCATTCAATGTAAAATATGTCAACAATTACCTGTTTAAATTACTCAAAGGCACTGTATTAACCCAAAGCAAATTCTAGAAAGGTAATACCATCGTAACACTTGCTGATTGGCTAATTGCCTAGTTGTGTGAGCCCTAAGGCAACAGGAGGTAAAACATAGTTCATCGGATTCCCTACATCCTTCTAAACTACGTTAAACCTTGTCAAACTTACAGGTTTTTTGGGGGTTTTTGAATGGCAATAACAATAAAAATGACAACAGGTTATACTTATTTGTAATGACGGAAAATGATCCGCGCGTTATATATTTCCGTCCAGCCATTTTTATCAACCTATATCTTGTTACTACATGACATGACGGGCAATACACAAGGATATTTTAGACGTTTGCAATTGGCCATCGTCAGTAAACTGACACAAAAATTACCGGAAGTTCGTCAGGAAAACAGTAGAATTAATCACTGATTAAAAAACACGCATAAAACTGCAGTTTTTGCTTTAATGCACTTTTTATCTTGCTCAAAATGAGCCCATACTTGAAAAAACGGTGATATATTTCAGTCATGAACCGGTCTTTTTTGTAGTCTGACAAACGTACGAAAATATCGTATGCAAATGAGGCCACATCTAGACATTCTTATATCGACCAAAACCGATATAAAACTGCAGAAAAAAATAACAACAGATTCTATATTATAACTAAATAAATATAATAAATAAATTACATGAATTCGTTCGATTTGACATCTTGAAAAATCAATTAAAAATGTGAAATTTAAAAAAAAGTTGTTTTGATAATTAATTTGAAGATCAAAGATATTTTTATTTATTCCAAACGAAGCTTAATTTGTTCTTGAAGGTCACTGTAGAGAATTTCCTTTTAGTGTAAATCAAAATAGACACACGGAAACATATGACGACTACTTCCGACGGGAGAAATTTGTTAAAAATTGTTTGTTCTGATTTTTTTTGAAATACAGTTTTATGTTGCTAGTTTTTTTGTTTCCTTTAGTAGATTGTATACATGTTTATGACAGTCATCCGTAATTTCAACAGTTTTCTGCCTATATGTGTACGAAATCGCGGTTGCTTCTTAAGTGCGCGAAAACCGGTAACCCGAGGATATAATATGCAGTTTTGCTTAATGCACATTTTATCTTGCTCAAAATTAACCCATACTTGAAAAACCAGGGAAATATTTCATTTATGAATCCGTCTTTTTTGTAGTCTGACATACATTCGAAAATGATGTATGCAAATGAAGCAACATCTCCTCGCCATTTTTTTTCCAATCTTCCGAAGATCGAAGACATTATTATATCGATAAACACTGTTGGTACTGAAACGTTAACATTGTAATGCAATGGACTTCCAATTTTCACCAATTTTAATAGTGAGAAATAACTTAATTACCATCAACCAAAACTGATATAAGACAGCACACAAATTTGATTTTACAGATTTTATTGAAAGTTAGTATATAAGATAAATAAATCTATAAAATGACATGAATTCGTTCAAGTTGACAAATTGAAAATCTTTATAAAAAAAATTGAAATATTTCAAAAAAATATGTTTTGATAATTAATTTGACGATCAGTGATATTTTTTTTATACCAAACGAAGCTTTTGTTGTTGGGAATTATTCGAGTGATCTTTCTTTGAACAATAAATCAAAATAGACAAACGGAAACATATGACGGCTGCTTCCGACGGGATTTAAAAAAAAACAGTTTTATGTTGCTTGTTTTTTGTTTCCGTTAGTAGATTGTGTACATGTCTCTGACACCCATCCGTAATTTCAACAATTTTCTACCGATATGAATACAGAATCGCGACTGCATCTTAAGTGCGCGGAAACCGATAACACGAGGATATCTAATGCCTGAATGCATGCGCATGCTCAAGGACGGCGCATCACCTTCATCATGTAGAGTTTAAATTCAATTTTCCCAAAACTAGCGACCTAATATCAGTAATTCATTATTTGCATCACATATTAGCAACATCAAGGATCATCATGGCGTACCAGTGGTCAAACAATCAATAGCAGATCGTCTTATCCAGAAGTTTTTACTGAAATCGACATCACTTTCGCAAGTTCCGGTTTCCAATGGCCAGCGAATTGCCTCTGACTATACTGATTTTGATGTCAGCAATTCTCTCCAGAGATATATAAGAAGCCAGAGACAGTCATGAACGCACTCCAACATATGCTTACCCATTGCAGTCTTGCCCTTTGTTTCTCCTTGTGCACGAAACCCAAATAGACTGTCCATGCACTGTGTATTATTGGTTATCATGTGTTAAACAATACCTTGGCCCAATCAAGTCATGGAACTTTGTCCAAGTGTTACTTCTCAGTGGACACATGCCAAGTGTTTACGGTTATCAGATTCTGTGGACAATGACCTAGCGAATGTATCCTTGTACTGTGCAACATGCCAACGCCCAAACCATTCTGTCGTACCATATGATCTCAGCCCAAGCCGTTCAGCTGATTCATCTGCTCTACAAACAAGCAGCAGTACCAAATCCATTGACTCACCAGTTAGCTCCATCAGCAGCCCTACAACCACGTCAAGACCAAAGAAAGCAAAAGCTAACCAACGATCAAACCCGAAGCAATCCAACATGTCGGAAATCAGAACACTCGTTATCAACTTCCAGTCTATCCGGAACAAATTGAACGAGCTCGATGTTTTGATTAATTCCACCAAACCTGACGTAATAATTGGTACCGAGACATGGCTTTATGGCTCAGTAACATCATCCGAGCTTTTTCCTGATATTTTTACCGTGTACTGCCGAGACCGGGCTTCAGACAACCACGGTGGAGTTCTTATAGCAGTTAAGAATAACCTGAAAACAACTGAAGTACATAAAGGTAATGTAACCGAATCCATCGCTGTGAAAATTGACCTACCGAATAAGAGATCAATGATTGTAACACCACCAAGTAGTGATGAGGAATACCTCCAGACATTCACAGATGAAGTTACAAATTTGAGACGCTCGCATCCTACTTCATTCTTCTACGAAGGCGGCGATTTCAATCTCCCGGACGTAGATTGGAAACCAGCATCAGTACAGGGAACAAGATACCCAGCCAGGCTTAGTGATAACTTTCTATCTATGAGTGAGGATTTGGATCTACAGCAGATGGTGGACTTTGCAACAAGGGAAGATAACACATTGAATCTCCTATTTACTTCACATCCCTCCCTGGTGGACTGGGTAAA